CTGGGCTTACCTCAGCCGATTTCGCGTAGGCATTGCAGGTTTGAACAGGTATGTCTTTCTCAGCCATTCCGAATATTATTATATTATAATATATTATTAATAGCATACCTGTAGACTCTTTTAAAATAATAACGATGTACTTTTTACCTACTATTTTGCCTTTCGCACCGGCGGACCATCGATGATGTAGCTGTCTTCTACCACTACGCCAATGGTCTTTGCTCCTCAGAGCGCTCCTCCATGGTGCCACCGCACGAGGTGCCTGCCAGGCAGACCCGTCAGACTTCGGCCTTGCATCCTAACTGTGTCGAACATCGTACATCCAGAACTCGCCGATACGACCGCTCCTTTGTCCCTAGGGTATCCAGATTGTGGAACAATCTACATGAGGAAGCTTTTCCCAGTTGTACTAAACTTAAGCAGTTCATAAATCGGATTAACAAAGTTTCTTGTTCCTCATAGCAGCCGCGGTACCCTGGCATTTAGGCTTTGCCTGCGCAGAGTAGAAAGAAAGAAATACAATACATATGATACGTAGCAAACAATGTCTTAGAAGATCCGTGCAACGTGCAACTTTAAAAAGCCCGTATAACATATGTTTTAGAATCTTTCGGTTGGATTGCCTTGGAGGCAAACGTTGCCCGATTGTAGTGGTCGTGACGTCTTGGCACCACCTGCCCAAAAATGTGGATACTTAGAAAAAAGGCGTAAAAAACATCCTCGCTCCCAGCTAGTCGTGGCATTACGAACAAAGCTATGATCACAGAACATCTAGAAGACTAGAAAGATCGAAGTTTAATTTCATTAGAGCAGACTTCTGCTGGGTTCCAGGGGTTGTACAGCCTGCAAAAACAAAAAGTTATACGGTTTTGGCCTACAAAACAAGGTTGAAATCGCTTTATGAACTAATCTCAAAAAACTCTTCAAGCTCTTTAGAGCAGGATTTTAGCTTTCTGATACTTGGTGACCTCAAATATTTTAATTTGTAACCGCACTGAATATACCCGCACGGTAACTCAGATCAAATTCGCCTGAGCAATTTTTTTAAATAAATTACATTTTTTTGTGCAGAGTTTTTTTCAGTTAATCATTCTGAATAGTTTAAATGGGTATACTCAATGCTTAAAAACTCGCTTGAAAGTAGAATGTTTTCATTCTTAGAGATACAAACAAAAAAGTTCGCATTATCCTTGACTTTGAAGTTCAGGTATTACATTTTTTTGTTAGATTAATATATCGAAATTCATATAAACATCGCTTACTCAGATTCAAGATTGCAGTTACTTACGCCCAATAGCGACTATTTGAGAAACTTAAAAATATTTTCCAGGTTTTTCTCTTGGCCGTTTTAGTAAGGACCTTTTTACCGCAAGCCTTTGTGATGGATAGGTTCCCAGATATAGTTCCTCGCATTCTTAGTTGACGACGGTGTACATACCTACACAAGATGGACCAAGATAGAAAAATTGGAATTCATTGTTACGTATATATTTAGTGATTTATCAATTTAGCAAAAATTTTTAATATCCTTTGGCACTATTAAACCGGTTTTGATGAAATTTTACACAATATACAAGATACTCAAGTGTAACCTAAGTCTGATCCGATGGCTAAAAAGCTAATGCTGCACTCTAACCAAATGAGTGGTGCTTATTAATGAACAAAATAGATTGGAAGCTCCGCTTTTTTTTCTAAATAAAATTATTGTCAGGCCGTCCTGTTTCTATAAATTTATGTGACAAAAAACTCAACACTTTAAGCATTATTAACAATTTTATCGAGACTGTGATCCGGGAACGATTCTATTTGTACAGGCTGCTCCATTAAAAAAGAAGCTTATACACGTATTGATTCTCATATTTCCTAATTTTGAGTGCAAAGACAATACAGTTTTCTCATTACTTTTGTGCACTGAAAAATTCCACTTTTTTAAAGAGAGATTGGTAAGTGTTGCGCCGACTTAGGGGCCCAGCCGGCTATAGATATTATTTATTTATTTATTTATTTATAATCCATACACTGCCTGAACAGAGTGTTCCAATTAACAGGCAGGGAAAAAACAAAAAGTGATACAAAAACAAAAATGTAAGCAGTATAAACATAAACATAAATTATCCAATTGTTAAAAATAAACTCTTGAGATTGATTTTGGAGGTACTAAACGTATCAAGTTCACTTACACTGTCACAGACATTACACATAACATAAAGAGGAGAAAATAACAATAAATTTGTCCGCGGAACAGGTAAATAAAATGAATTGTTACCACCATGACGAGTACGCAAATCGGGAACGCGTAGAGAGATCCTGTCTAAAAGAAAAGGGCAATCAATTGTTCCATTCAACAAATTACATAAAAATTTAGCAGCTAACAGATTCCTACGTTTGACTAAATTAGATAAATTATACCTACTTAAGAGAATGTCATTGCGTATACCTCTTTCAGGGTACGCTCTATCATCTTTAAACCATAAGTATTTCACAAAACGACGTTGGATTCTCTCGATGTTTCTACAGTGTATATCATAGGCCGGGTACCAGATAATCGAACAGTATTCTAAAATAGATCTGACAAAAGCATTAAAAAGTAAAATTAATGTATTATTATTATTGAAATGTCTACTGTTTCTTATAACAAATCCTAGATTTTTAAATGCTTTTGCTATTATTGCATTAATGTGATCAATAAAAGAAAGCTTTTGATCGAATAATACTCCCAAATCCTTGACGATATTAACACGACAAAGAACATTGCTACCGATTTCAAAATTAAAACATCTTGGTTCCACCCTACGTGTAATCGTCATAGTAGTACATTTATTGACATTCAAGTGCATGTTATTTACTTTACACCAGTGATCAATGACATTCAAATCAGCTTGTAACTTTAAACTGTCTTCTGAGCAACAAACGCTATTAAAAATTTTGAGGTCATCGGCATATAGCAAGTACTCACAACGCAAGTCTGTTATAACATCATTTATAAAAATTAAAAATAATAGGGGACCCAGAACAGAACCTTGAGGCACCCCTGATGTAGCTAAAACCGCACCAGACTTATATCCACGGAAGTCCACACATAATTGTCTATCACTGATGTATGAATGAAAGAAAGCTAAGAATCTAGATGTTAAGCCGTACTTAGACAACTTCTGCAATAGAACACCGTGATCCAAACGGTCGAAAGCTTTCGAAAAGTCAGTATAGACTACATCAACTTGCCCGCCATTATCCAGAACTGATGCGGAGTACTGCTTAAAACATGCCAAATTACTACACGTAGATCTACCCTTATAGAAACCATGTTGACTCGTCGATATGGACCGACTTACATGAGAGAACAAAATATCAAAAAGAACAAACTCAAAAATTTTGGTAATATTACTTAAAATAACAATAGCCCTGTAATTCTCTACCTGCGATCGATCGCCTTTCTTAAAAACAGGTGTTATTTTAGACAATTTCCATTTTCTAGGAAAGGTGGCAGATTTCAAGGACAAATTGAAAAGATATGTCAAAGGTTCAGCAAGAACACACGCACAGTCTTTTAGAAAAAATGAAGGTATGGAATCCAAGCCAGTGGAACATTTAGGCTTTAATCGTTTCATTGCATTCCGTACATGCTCTACATTAATAGTCACTAAAGGAAGATACGATATATTTACTGTAACGGAACAATCAGCAGATGGTTGAGAAGACGTGATGTAGGTGGACTGGAAATACTTGGCAAAAGTATCAACAATTTCCTGTGGATTCCTGAACTCCTCATTTTCCAAAGACATATTGTTGGGTATGCCTGATCTGTTGCTGCGCAAGTTAACAAAGGACCAAAATTGATTGGGGTTTTGCGCAAGGGCACGCTCAGTCCTCGCAACAAAATTAGAAAACGCCAGGTCTATATCAATTTTGATGGCTCTTCGCAGGTTACTGAAAGCTTCATAGTCAGATCTAACCAAAGTACTCTTGTATCGCTTCCAGAGGCGATGCTTTTTTGATATTTTAAAGATTATTGCACGAGAAAACCAGGGAGGGTATCTGTTATCCTTTGGTAATGTGCATGGAACGTGCCTATCGAAAGCGTCATACAATTTACTATAAAACAGGTCACAAGCAATATTAATGTCGAGGATGTCCGATGGAAAAGAGAAATCTGAATCCATAACAGTGGTGTAGAGTGCAGGAAGATCTGCTTTCCTAAAGTTATATTGCGGATTATTATTTGGGCGTACGTTATTCAGAGAACGCGGAAGTGAAAAGAGCGCTTCTATCGGAGGATGGTGCCTATCAACTGGTAAAAGAATATCAGATGCATTTCTCACATGAACATAATTATTACAGAAGACTAAGTCCAGTATACGATCATATTCGTTACGAATACGATTGTATTGGGCTAAATTAAAGAAACTGCTCATACTAGAGATAGCATATAAGTAGTTATCATTGTAAGAATCATCCCACATTTTATTCACGTAACTGGGAATGTTGAAATCCCCAAGAAAAATAACAAAATCATTTGGACCAAAAAAATCAATCGCCAAAATGTCATCAACAAAAGATTCAAAAGCATCTAGGTGCATATTAGGAGGAATATAAGCGAGGATAACGTAGATAGCATTACGAGCAAGCTGAATCTTAATCCCAACAATATCAATTTCTAAAACTGAAGATGCAATGGTTACTTCATGTGCCTCATATACCTTACTAATCGCTAATAAAACACCACCTCCCCTAGTTTGGCCAGTTTGTACATATTTTCTATCTGATCTAAATACACAATAATCACTACTCATAAACTCTGCATCATTAATGCTATCATCTATCCAAGTTTCAGTCAAAGCTAACAAATCGTAAGAACTAGCATATGAAGCATTTAATAGCGTGTTCAGCTTAGTTTTTATCCCTCTGACATTTTGGTAATATATAGAGAAATCCGTCTGATTAAGTGCAACAGAATCATCAACATTCACATAAGTTGGCTCTAACTGTTTACAAGATAGTTGCTATATATCACCAATAATAGATTTTTTATATTCTGCCAGTTTCTTCATATACAAAGTGCAGTTGTCTGCATCCCAAGCAGCATGATTCGAATTTGGAAGTCGAGCATTGACACAATTGATACATTTCAAAGAGGCCGACCTACACTCAGATAATTTATGATCTAAAGAGCATTTTACACAAACTTGAACTTTGCTTTTACAATTTTTAGCGTAGTGATTGTGCCCACAACATTTAAAACACAACCTCAGACTGATTGCATCATATACAATGCAGCTTTCAAAATTAACAATCAGATTGCCTCGACTAAGAATACTCGAGTATGTAGCAATGTCAACATCTAGAATAGCTTGAAAAACATCACCTGACTTCTTAGTTGGCCACACTTTTAACACAGTACACTCACTATCATTTTGAAATACACTATTCTGAGACTTCAGTATAACACTGAGCTGTTCTTTGTCAATACACTCAGACATTCCTACAATTTTCAAACGGGGGTTAAACTTCCTCACTTCCTTGACTTCATAATCATCAGCAAGGTGCAATGAAGCCAACTCCTTCAATTTGCTGGCATCTTCAGATCCATCACACTTTATAAGTAATCCCCCATTTTTTATGTTTTTTACTTGAGAAAATTTAATGTTATTAGTTACCGGATCAACAGACTGACGCATCTTAAGTCTTGTCGCTGCATGAGGCTGATCGTTGTTTTTTGGCTTAACAATTAAATTCACATTTTTTTTCAAAATGTTTGCATATGAAGCATCCGTCGCAGGCATCCTTCTTAAGGTATCTTGATCAAACTGTTCATCAATCTTGTTTATTAGAACAGATTTTGCTTCGTTAAATGACTCATGGATATTGGAAATAAGTGCATCGACCTTTTTATTTATCCTAGTAGACACAAAATCCAAATCCGTTCTTTTATTAACGCAGGATGGGCAAAACCAAAATAAACCAGGTGTTTTAATTACCTTCAATACGTCATATGGAATTCCCATACAAGAAATGTGAAAAAACTGATCGCAAAAACCACTGCACGATATACCTGGCTTGGGTCCAAGCTAAATCAAGCCTAAAGTCAGTATCTTCGTAAAATAGCTTTTTAAAGGCCTAGTGTAATACTCGAGGGCCTTCTCCAGCCTATTTCGTAAGCGTTTGCGTCAATTGCAGGAGAGACGACAGATATAGATATTTACAATCCAGACTACTAGAGTTAAGAAGAATGTTTCAGTTGGAGGGGTGAATTGACACTGTCAACCAGTATGGGAACAACAAATTTTGCAAATAACCCAAAAAAAACCTTATAGGAACTGGCATTCGTCAATTTTTTTAATTCACGATGTTTAGATCTCACCACTTAGAACAAAGGTGTTTGTAGGCCCTAACCTCTTTCATGAGTAATTTCCACGGTACACGCCTCCACGTTGGATACTCCATACCCTTTTATAGCGTGTATGCTATAATAGGGTACGGACTGACTAAGTTTGAGGCACTATATCTCGGAAACTACTGGTGGAAAAAATTTGAGCCCATGGACATGCTTGTTGATATCCACAACATACAAATGTTTTGGAAAAATTAGCCGAAAGCCATTCCCCATAAGGCTTCTGCGGGGTGTTTTCATTTATATGGTTTTCTTCCTTGTTAGGATAAGACTAGTATCAGGATTTTGTTACACACTTGCATACTGCGACTGCTTCGTGGTGTAAACAACTTTTAGATGCTGGCAATGTATGAAGTAAGCTAACTTATCGTTCAGGTTTGGAAACTTTGCCGATAAAGTAGATAATCCACTACATATGTGTATAATGAATGGAAAGTATACCAAGGAGTATCATTGATTAACTAATTCCACCTGAAGTTAGTCCACAGTGTGCTGCTGTTTCGACGTTCAGAAAGACGGGCTAACATAAGGGCGCGCCATTTAGCCGTCTGCCAGGTTCACATTCAGTTCACTAAACAACCATAAACAACTCTAAAAACTAGAAAACGTATTTAATTCATGTTGGTTGTATTTGTACGTCCAACTAATAGACGGCAACGCCTTCTCCTAAAAAGGAGTAGTCGAAAAAATACTGAGTCAAAAGGGAATAACCGATCTGACAGAGAATCGAAAAATATGACTGGTTTTTGACAGTCTTTGATGGGCAAGCGCCTGCCACTGACGTTTTTTCAGTAAAACGCAAGAAGAATTTTAGTTTTGGTTTAATTATAATTTAATCTATTATTCGATAAAGTGCTGACAATAAATATCTAGACCAACACACAAGCAATTGATAGACTACATTGAGAAAAATCTAGATATCTTCTTCTTTGATGTTGAATAGAATTGGAGAGCACACATGACACCATGTTTTTTATCTGGTTTCCTCTCACATTTTCTCTTTCTGGGATATGTGGTCTACCCAAAGTAATTAATTCCTCGACCAGAATTTTGCTAACGCGAAATAGTTCTCGAAATCTCCTCTCAGGCAAGTCGAAACGACTTTCATGCGTCTTTAAATATTGTCGTTTTCGAATAAGCGTCTTATTTTCCTGCCTTCTATGTTTATTTAATAATATAATAATTCCAGTACAATTGGAAGCATGGTATTTTTAGCAAAATAAAAAACTTTCTCATTTAAAAAAGATAGGGTAAAACTATTTTCAATAGCTTGGAACTTGCCGAATTAATTTGGTAGGGTAGAGTCGATAATATTCATGAACGTATTCTTGATTGTCAACCAACTCGACCCGTTCCAATCGAGATCGATTTCCCTCGTGACTCTGTTACGAGAACAAAAACAGAAGGTTGAAAAAACTAGGCGATCTATGTTCTGTAGTAAAAGTTCTTTGTCCATTATGTTGCTGGCGCCTTGGGCGTGCTGGTGTGTTCGTTGTCGTCCATCACGCGACTTGGTCGACGGCACGGCACGAAACACCACGCCACGCAACGCAAGACGGCCCTAGCCCTTCACGATGGGGCCCTCCTGTCCTTTTGCGGCTGCAACGGCCTTTAGTGAAGCCGCAACTCGCTTGACCCTCAACCACCCTTTGTGGCTCATCGGTTTTATGAATTATACAAAAATGCTGATTTCCCATGCATGATTTTGATCTCATTCCCTTTCAGGATTCCCGTTCAAAGCAGTTATATAATTCAGGTTTACATGTTAGTGTGCACAAACCTAGGCACACATTCTGTTTGTGCCGTGTAATTTAATTATCTGTTCGGTAAAATACGAACGACAGATATGTTGAACTTTCTTAGACATGTCTGATCACATCACTCCCTAACAAATACTACACATACAACATTGGAAATGTGAAGGCCACAAGTAAATACGTCCAGTTCTGGTACAAAATTCTTCCTAAATTCTTCGCTGACTGTATTAGGAACAACAATTTTAGTTATTCAAGTCATAACAAAGATGAAACGTCGAACTGCATCTAACAACCGGAAATATCTACCACTGATATTACTTACCGCCATTAATAGTCTCTGGGGGTGTGTTGTCGGACGAAATATAAGTTTATACTTTTTTAGTTTCCTGTACTGTATTAGTCCCTCAACACCGCATGAAAGCATCCAATTTATACAGGGTGTTTTCAAAGTTAAGGCATTTATTTCAACTGCTTGTAGGACTCGACAAAAGGCGTTGATATACCAAAAGTCACCTTTATAAAAATTGCATAATAAAAGAAACAGAAAAAGATCACATATTTTAAAAAATAAGAATGTTATTACACATATTTTTTGATATTCTCGACCACTGTCGTATAAAATCTTAGCGTTTTTTTGTTAAATAAATAATCTTATCGTTTATCTAAATTCGGCAAACTTTTTGTGTTATTGTATAGTTTTCAGTACAAGTCTTTGGTTCGATCAGTTGTATGTCTTTTAATAGTGCATATACTTTCATTTTGTCTGATTATTTTGTGCGAAAAAATTGCACATGTGTACGAAAACAATGAACTAGTGGACATAATACTAACATACGGAGAGTGCCAACAACATGCAGCCGCAGCATACGGCCCCACGGATGTTTGTAAATTTAGTTGTTAGACTTCGTGGCACAGGATATCTGAAAGAACAACGAGGAGGTCACGCTGGAAGACAATGAGCACTAGAACCATCGCGTCTCAAGTTGAAGTTTCTCAAAGTGAAATATGGAAGACAATACGACAAGAACAGTGTTGGACACATTTCTTGGCCTGCTCGCTCCATGTATTTAACGCCTTGCAAATATCTATACGCTGTGTAAAAGAATGACCCAACTTTAAGGACACCCTATATAATTTAAAAACAACACTACGTGAGCACCTGTTCCATTCCTGGTTTCATTAGGTGCTAGTTTCAAACTATAATTTCTCGATTTACTACGCATAGATCAAGGTCAAGTCGCGAAAACAATGAACTAGTGGACATAATACTAACATACGGAGAGTGCCAACAAACTGCAGCCGCAGCATACGGCCCCACGGATGTTTGTAAATTTAGTTGTTAGACTTCGTGGCACAGGATATCTGAAAGAACAACGAGAATGTCACGCTGGAAGACAATGAGCACTAGAACCACCGCGTCTCAAGTTGAAGTTTCTCAAAGTGAAATATGGAAGACAATACGACAAGAACAGTATTGGACACATTTCTTGGCCTGCTCGCTTCATGTACGTTTAACGCCTTGCGAATATCTATACGCTGTGTAAAAGAATGACCCAACTTTAAGGAGACCCTGTATATAATTTAAAAACAACACTACGTGAGCACCTGTCCCATTCCTGGTTTCATTAGGTGCTAGTTTCAAACTGTAATTTCTCGATTTACTAAGCATAGATCAACGTCAAGTCGCGAAATTGTCACATTTACACCAAAATATCCAATTTTCATGTTTTGATGCAAGCCACTTTTTGCACTTTCTTCCTGGCCAAAAGAAAGGCTCGTTCTGCATTACGAGGTATGTCTTTTAAGTTTCGCATATAGAAACATAGTAGGCCGCGCGGAACGAACGTCAGTACTGAATCTCAACCTCACTCTTTAGTAAACTTAAATTCAAAGTTTCACAACAGTTCATGCAGTGTTCTCACTACAGTGAATTTTTAAGTGTCACCAAGACATTAGAAAAATGGAACTCAACCGGGAACATTTTCGCGCCATAATTCATTACATCTTTCAGAGACAATTATCATCTTTCAGAGACAATTATCGCAACTAGAATGCCTTGCTGAGTTACTGTCTGTTTTCGGCAACGAAGCACCACATCAATCGACAATATCCAGTAGGTATGGAGAATTCAAACGTGGACGGGTGAGTCTTAGGCCCGTATCGTCAGTCGTCCCTACAATTGCAGGGCGCCTTTATGGCCTCCTTGATTGTCATAGTTTTCTACTTCTCCGTGTCAACGCTCTATTTTGAGGTTATGTCACAAACATCTATTTGCATCAAATTGTGCTTGCTTTTGAGTTATATCATGTTTCATCAGCCTGAAATTTCCTACAATTTAAAAAGAAAACATATCTTCACAATAGGAGAGCGCTGACGCTGACACGGCACAAGTGTAATCTAGAAATCTTTGAAGGATAGAAAGGAGTATGACAATCAAGGAGGCCATAAACGCGCCCTACAATTGTAGGGACGACTGACGATACGGGCCTTAGCGACGATCCCAGGGTGGGTGCACCGAAAATGGCAGTCACCCAGGAAAACGTCGATGCTGTGCGCAAACTCATCATTGAAGATAGACATGTGACAGATCGCGAGATTGAGGCGTCCTTGAAGATCTCAAAGACTTAAATTCAAAAAATTTTACATGAACAATTAGGAGTAAGAAAATTAGTTTCTCGTTGGATACCCCACCTGTTGACTAAAGAGCAGAAAGCAGCCTGGGTTAATTGGTGTCAAAAAACGCTCGACCGTTTCAATTTCGGAAACTCAAAAAATGTGTACAGCATTGTTAGTGGTGATGAATCGTGGATTTATTGTTATGAACCAAAAAATAAACGACAGTCGGCTGTTTGGGTGTTCCAAGGTGAAGAAAAGCCAACAAAAGTCATCCGTTCTCAAAGTGTTTCGAAAAAGATGGTCGCGACATTTGTGTAAAAAGCGGGTCATATTGCAACAATTCCTCTTAATGAGCAAATAACTGTTACTGCGGATTGGTATACCACCATTTGTTTGCCAAAAGTCATCACCGAGCTTCAAAAATCAACCCAGAAAGAAAAATCATCCTCCACCAAGACAATGCAAGCTCGCACACTGTCCAAAAAACAAGGCAGTATTTAATGGAAGAAAATGTGGAATTATTGGACCATCCTCCATATAGTCCCGATCTAAGTCATAACGATTTCTTTACTTTCCCGAAAATTGAAAACAGACTGCGTGGTCAAAGGTTCCAGTCACCAGAAGAAGCAGTTGACGCATTCAAAAATGCCGTTTTGGAGCTGCCAGCAAACGAGTGGAATAAGTGCTTCGAAAATTGGTTCGAACGCATGCAGATGTGTATTAATCTTCGTGGAGAATACTTCTAAAAACAATAAAGTCATTTAAAACTACCTACCGTGTTGTTTTGTTTCCATGTGGCATCCCTCGTATTAATCTTGAACAATCCAATTTCAAAACTACCAAATCTATATAATTTTTCTGAAATCAAATTTCACTATAACTTTGGTATTTTTAATGTAGAGCATTTGTAGTGTCAACTATGACTGGGTATGTGTAGTAACGGAAGTGTTTGAGAACGAAAGATGAATGGAGTTTATCAGAAGATTTTTTTTGTAACGATGAAAAGAGCCAACCGGCTTTAGAAATTATCCATGATCAAATTTTACCTCAACTATGCAGTCCAAATTTTTCAGGGATGACAAAAATATTTAGTATGCAAAATTGAATACCCTGTTCAAATATGTGGTGGTTGATGTTTCGATAGGTTAAAAGCGTAAAACGTATTTACTCTTATTTTTCTTCTTCTATAGTTTGAGCCATGAGAGTGTGTATCCGCTTTGCTTATGTTGTTCATACTACATGTAGAAGATTTGGAATCGATACCTTCATCGGCTCCACAGATTTTTCTCAAATCAGTTAATAGACTTCAAACTTCATACCGTCCACGGTTAGTGCTTCCTCTGACTGCGGACCACTGTCGTCTGCGTTTAAACTGGAGCAGAGAACGGCAACATTGGGGAACAGAATGGCATAATGTCATCTTCAGCGACGAATCGCCATTCTGTCTAGGCACGCACCATGGTCGTAGAAGGGTAAGATGCCGCCGTGGAGAACAGCGTGATATTGGATTTGCTGTTGAGAGGCATGTACACAGGTCTGTTGGAGTAATGGTTTGGATGGCTATTGCCTATGGTAGCCGATCACTCCTTCTCTTTGTTCAAGGCGTTATGTTTTTTACTGCCGTATCTAGAGGTCCATCCACACATCATTTTTCAGCAAGACAACACATGTCCCCATTTTTCTCGCCGTACTGCGGACTTTCTTCAAAAAGCAGGCGTAAATGCCTAGTTCACCGGATTTAAATCCCATCAAATATGTGTAGGATATCGTGGGGAGGAGACTATCCACCTTGCACCATCCGCCACAGACTCTGTCATAACTAATCCACGAAGTTCGAGTTGCCTGGAATGAGGTGCCACAACCAGACATTGGTCATCTCATTTTGCCAATGCCTAGACGTATACAGGCGTGTACTCAGCTGCGGGGTCGCCCAACACAATATTAATTTTTTTCTCATTATGTACTTGTCAATAAAATTTCGTAATAATGTTATCGTTTCATTCTTGATGTTATGCTTCTGGAGTCATGAAAAAGTTATCCAATGTCGAAACACTAATCAAAAGTTATGATTATTGGGCCAAAGCAGAAACGGATTATAGTAGAATAGTGAAAATCTATATCAGCTCAACATCAATAACATTCCTTAGGCAATTGTAACTAAGCAAAAATCTGTGTTTATATCTGGATAACATATTAAAATTTGACCATCATATAAATGAGTGATGTTCAAAATATTACGGTATCCTCAGACAATTATATTCTCAATGAAATTTACTAAATAGTAAGTTAAAATTACAGCTGTGTGATTTACTAATCATTTCAAGGACGTTTTATTGTGACGCTGTACATGGACCATCCTTGTTGCAAAGCAATAAGATCAAGCTGCACCGAATTCAAAATTCTTGTTTACGTTATTGTCATGGTATTAGAAAATATGACCATATAAGTTTATAGGGAAGTCATGTTTATAAGGAAAACGGAAAATTGAATCTAGAAAATCTTAGAATCTATCATACACAACTTTAGTCCAAACTACAAAATTTTAAATACGTTAACAACACAGCAACAAGAAATAGTCAGTCTCTCGTTATTCCCCACCACTTTACATCATTATACAAGAAGAGCTTCTCATACATCACGGCGAAATATTACAACAATCTACCAACTTAATATCGGAATTACAGTCTGATGAATTTCAAGAAAAAATTGAAAGTAATACTTATTTTATATGTTACACCTCTCATCTAGATTGAGACTGACCACGCGATTTTTTGAGTTGTGTCTCATGGGCATTATGATTTTATATTAGACGACTTGAAATTTAAACACGTATACTTGTATAGACTTAAACACTATTAGGGTATCATGTATCTCATATATTATTTTGTACGACTCTATTCTTATGTATGATTGTCAATTTAATTGTTGGCTGAGTTGAAAAATACCCTAAGGTAACATTCCGCCATTTCGATTCTTTAATTTCAAATTTTAGTACCTCAGCTCACTCAAAATACCAGAAATATGTATTTGTAAAAGAATAAAATAAAGGCATGTTATTATTATTAATAATCAAATCACCAGGTAGGACATTCTGGTATATAACAATGACCCCCCAACTCCTTTCACATTTTTCTAATGATTATTCCCACGTTGTGTCCACAAAAATGAAATATACCAACGCGAGACTGAAAAGCGCGCAACACATGGTCAGCGACACTCTTGGTGTCATTCAAAATCGTGATCTCATCATTGACTTGAATCACCCTGTATACATTATCACATTGCTAATTCAATATTTGTGACAGAAAGCTAGGAACGCAAGGATATCTTACAAGAACCAACGGCCCATTCGCCAGGTTTTCATCTAGCAAAATGTTTTTATGAGATATATAAGGGCAAACAGGACCTGAGGTCGGTAATCTTTTGATTATAACTAGTAAACCATGCCACCACTAAAAATAAATGCACAAGACTGAGATCCATAGCTACTTTAGGTTTAATAAAATTCCTTTTTAGCCTAGAAAACAATTAACAACCAAAACTAAAACACTTGCAGACATCCGAATCTTCCTGATCACTATTTCCTCCTGGACGTCTTGTCAGTGACCTTCACATACATGAAATACGCCAAGGCGAGCAACAACAGCACAAAACACCACACTCTTGGTGTCCTTTGGCAAATCGTAGACTCCTTGATCCACATTGGCAATGTTACCCGACCTGTGCCTTCAGAGTTGTAGTAGGTCATTAGCAGATGATCTCCCGTGGTGTGTCGAACACTCTCTATAAGGATCATCTCAGACATGATTGATTATCACTGCGGAATGAGTAACGGTGAAATGTGGAAGCTATTGTTCTGCGCACTGCCTATAAGTACGATGCGAGATGCGAGATAAGCGGTACTAGTCCAGTTAAATAGCCGAAACTGAGACAAAAGTGATAACATAGCCACAAAGTTATTTCCGCTGGCGTAATGGTGTAATAAAGGATTGCGAATATTGTTGTATGAATTTATACAGTCCGAGCAATATGTTAATATTCGGTAGGTAGTAAAATTGCAACTACATTCTAATCACGCTTTTATCACTGCGCGTTGCGGCAAATTCAAATTTATTTAAGCCCGTAGCTTCAATTACAAGTATCAGAGTAATGCTAGTTGCGTGGGTCACAGACTTCTGGACCAATCACCGATCAGTCGGCATCACAGAAAATACGTTCAGCATTTGTATACGGCATTGAAGGCAGATCCTATATTCTATAGTCCAGAAGAAATTGTACCACCACAGAAAATACTATCAGCATTTGTATACGGCATTAAAGGCAGATCCTATATTCTATAGTCCAGAAGAAATTGTACCTAGAAAAAGTCTCTAGAATGATGGTACAGCCAATTAGGGCAAAGGCAAGCAATCAACGAACGTAGACTGAATTTAAAGAGTACCTACTCCGATTTAATAGGAAGACCATAAAAGGGTCACAGTGAGTCTCTTGATAGGACACTGTCGTCCAAATCGACATACGAGATGAGGCTCTTGGATCTATCAGAAGATGCCACATTTCGTTTCTGTAGAGAGCATGAGGAGACTCCAATGCAACTCCTGTGCCACTGCGAATGCCTGTCAAGGCTACGGTTTCAGAGGCTATAACGTCTGATTAAAGGATTAACTACAAATACAAGTAGATAGGTCAAGAAAAGAACAGATAAAAATGTATAAAAACACAACACCGTTTAACACAAACATCAACATCATAGATGTATAGAGATAGCATATACCGGAAAAAGAACTACATATAAAATGCATAAGACACAATTAAAGCAAACAATCAAAAAATTCCTCAATGGTATATAGTGAGACATCGATCAAGTTTTTTAACTGACTTAAAAATCTATTAAGTAAGTATTTTTTAGTAACGAATGAAATAACTGTGATTGAAGTTGTTGGTATCGAGCTCTCCTTTTCTTTTATTAATAAAACAGAACAATTTATAAGGGTGCATGGCAACCGATGTGAATATATTATGTTTAAATGTTGTGCGACATGATTCTTGATAACCGTGAATTAATGTTTTCCAGGTAAGCCTTTTTTTTGGTGTATAAAAACTCTTGATAAATCTGAGGACTGTCCCCAAACGGCAATATTGTATGCCATGGTAGAAAAAGCGTATGTATACAGTTAGTAAAGGATTGTTAAATTTATTTTTAGTGAGCAAATCATGTAATAGCACTTATTTGATTCAGCCAGTTTTTTCAGTACCAATGGCTAAATTTATTAACTTAATTTGTTACTATTGTTTGGGAATCTCCCGTGACTAAAATATGGTACGGTCATCACCATATAGAAATGTAAATGCTTAAATGCTGTTAGGACTTTGTTTTCATCTAACGCATTGTGTTGTTGTTTTCAAAGTTGAGTCATTTATTTTAACAGCTTGTATAACTCGTCAAAAGAAGTTGATATACCAAAAATCACTTATATGGGGTTGTCCAAAACGGATGCAGGAAAGTAAACGCATATTAAAACAAGAAAGATTGATATTCAAATCAAGTTGGGTACTTTATTTTGAAGGTTCATTTATACCATTTATGTATGAAAAATAATATCGCTCAAATGTTCACCACGACTGGATTTACAGACGTCCACGCGATGGTCGAAATTTTCAATGACATTTTGCAACATGGTCAGTTCTATGGCATTTATCTCGGCAATGATGTTGTTTTTGAGTTCTTGGAGGGTGGCTGGTTTGTTGACGTAGACTTTGCTTTTCAAATATCCCGATAAAAAGAAGTCCAAGGGAGTCAAATCGCACGATCTTGGTGGCCATGGCACATTTCCTCTGCGCGAAATCACGCGCAGATGCGGCAGTTTTGCTTGTTTACCATCCCATTCAAAGTGAAATGCGCTTCGTCGCTGAACATGATTTTTGATGAAAAATTGGCATCAATTTGGCGGTGCAAGGAGCCAATCTGAGAACGTTCCGCGCGAAAAATGGTCGGCCCGACGCAGCTCTTGCGTCAATTGGATCTTGTAGGCGAGTACATTCAAATCCTTGTGGAGAATGCGGAGCAAACTGGTTCTCGAAATGCCCAATTCTTGGGATCGACGCGTTGTTGATTGTTTCGGATCGTCTCTCACACTCTCCTTCACAACAGCAATATTTTCCGGTGTGCGAACGCTCCTTGGCCGGCCAGAGCCTGGCAGATTTGCCACAGAACCTGTTGCCTCGAATTTACGCACCAGACGACCGATGGTTGTTTCGTTTGGGCGATTGTTGCGACTGAAATGTTCACGAAGCGCGCGAAACGTGTTTTTTATTTTTGCACCATTTTTGTAGTGCTCTTAAATAACTTTAATGCGGTCTTCAATCGAATACGACTCCATAGCGATCAATGGTAAACATTCAACTAACAAATGACATGTCGGTGACAGAAAACAAAGATGGCGTCTATGTCAAATTGACGTTTACTTTCCTGCGTCCCTATTGGACAACCCTATATAAAAGTTGCATAATAAGAGAGTTAATTTATTCTTTCAGTAGTCTAATTCTTTTTAAGTACAGCAAAAAAATTTCTTAGTGATGTTAGAAGCCTACCAAATATTCTTTCTGGTGTTTGCGATCTATTTAGCCAATATGGCGGAACAATTGGAATTAAAGAGTTACACTAGCTTGTTTCATTCCTATGTAGTCAGTATTTTTGCTAGAGCTGTTTCGTGCTTGTTTCGTTTTTTACGATGGCACGCTTCAGTGAGCAACGTGCAACTGTGAAATTTTGCTTTCTAATTGGTAAAAATGCTGCTGAAACTGAGGGAAAAAGTCATGTCGATTGATGACAAACCTCGCTCTGGACGTCCATCAACTGCCCGAATCGACGAAAATGCTGGGAAAAGAGCTTTTGCTATTTGGAGGTTTTAAGACGATTGCAAAACAGTGTTCGGCAAAAAAGACCCGAGTTGTGGCAGTCAGGAGACTGGTTCTTCCACCACAATAATGCACACAGCCATCTCTGTTCGACAGTTTTTGGCTAAAAATGGCATGGTTCCGCTGCCTCACGCACCTTATTCGCCTGACCTGGCTCCGTGCGTTTTTTTCTTATTTCCACGGATGATAAGGGGCATGAAAGGACGTCGCTTTGACGACATTGAAGAGGTCTTGAAAAAATCGAGGATGGAGCTGTCAGACATTTCTAAGGAAGACTTCAAAAAATGTTTCGAGTAGTGGGACAAGTGTATTAGTTGAAGTGGACAGTAGTTTGAAGGAGATAAGGTTACTTTGTGAATAATGTGGAAATAAATAGCTTTTAAAAAAAATCCTATTTTTTTTTTGGTACCCCCTCGTATCTCTTACAGTATTTGCCTCAGGAAAACAAATTATATCGATTTCAATTCATAAAAACGCAAAATAGATATATCGGTCCAATCAAAAAAAAAATTATTTTTAATATGAAACGGTGAAAACGCTGTCGGCCATGACGTGACGTCATACAAGTTGTAAACAAAGGAACGTCGTCCGTATGTCACTCGTGGACTAACGTTGTCTTCTTTAACCTTCCCAAAAAAAACTTCTAATTAATATAAAAGTTATCGTTCTCTCATTTTGTTGAACAAAAACAATCATGGACATTGGATTCGTAAAAGCAGAAAGCACAAATTTGCCGAAAACTGACACAGTGATGGTTGATAATGTTTTTGCCTTCAACCGACAATTTCTGCTCTACTGAGCTGAGGAAATACAGTGCATCTTATATGATGATAGACATAAAAAGAAAGAATAAAGAACATAACCTTTTTCATCATCAATCAAAGCTTGCGCCAGATCCTATGATTAATTTTATCTAATATTTTATTCTCATACATCTAAATCGTACTGTGATGATGCCGTAGATTACGTCCAACTTAAAGGAGACGTTAAAATTTGCACAATAAAATGTTAAATATGTTCCGAACACAAGGTATGCTCCAACAAATACACAATGTTACTTATATTTATTTCCCTAATCCACAGGTTTCCTGGTGTCTTTATCCATGTGTTTTTACATCCTCGTATGATACAATAACGACTAGTGCTGTATTTTTCTTGTAAACTGGTAGGTCGTATCCATTAGGGTGTTCCAAAAAAATGAAAGTTCTTTTTTCATACGCATATCCTCTATTTTTTCTATAACACTCTAACAACTCACTTTTATGTGTCGTAATGCATCTTTTAAAAGTTCTTACTGCATTGAATTTAATGAACCACATTAGACAAATCAAACAAATTTCCTGTTGTATTCAATTTTGAAAAACAACAGATACTGACAAAATGTTCCTCATAGCAGTTCTAACGTTGAGATTTGAAAAAATATTCAAGATGCACTCGAATCAGAAACTGAACTAATATCATTTAAATGATTATTATATTAACTTTGCACTCTTTATCTCCAATTTCCGATACAAATTCTGCCTCCGAGTTTACACCGATTCCATTAATCACCATATATCTCCACTAATTTGGCAAGGAATAAAAAACAAAGAAACTGCCTTCAGTTTCGTAATTGCTCCAATTAAGTCGCATTGAATACAGTTAGAAGGCAATTATCACCAATAATTTTGTTAGCTTTTTCTTTAATGTTAGGGTGCGCACATCCCCTAACTCTTAATTCCAGCTATCATGTTTAAATAGCTCCAGTTAAGCTTAAAAATGGTATCCAGATACATAAAAAACCGGAGTCAGAAATTGCATCATAGTTTTCTTATATAGTAATACAGTACAAAATAAATCAAAAAACGTTTAGGAGAAAAGATAATTACAATTTCAGTATTTCTCTCATCTGAAACTGATATAATAAGAGGTTTGAAGTCCCTACAATTATTTGTCAGGTAATCCTCAAAGGGCTGAGAAGCCTAGAATTGCGGTTAAAGACCAACACCAATTACAGATTTGGTATACCTATAGGGCTGTAGGATATCAAATTTCAAGTGGTGTATAGGTACCGAATTGTCACGCGCGCTTTTGTGTGGCATAATAACTATACCAAGCTTACAAAATATAGGTTTCAGAGGATTATATCGGCATTTTTCAAGTGCTTTGAAGTCGGAAAATAATATTTTGACAATGTGGATTGGAGGTTGAACAACTGTAGTTCGATCCCATAATGATTAGACTGTTTTTCGCTCTCTGTGAAGTTTATTCGATATTTAGTTCTTGTTTTGAATTTTTATAGGAGAATATATAGCGAATGTACAGGGCGATTCGGGAAAACATTTCTAGAGTAAAAATGTTTTTGAAAATAAGAAAAAGAAGTTTCTATAAACATAGCTCCTAAACTGCCCCATTATCAAAAAACGGAGTGTTGTAGTGTTGTAAATGTTTACCCTACTGATAAGATTGAATAAGGATAAAACATGATAATTGTTCAATTAACTCTATGGTGAGTTAAGATTACTCCCCTAATACACTGCATACATTTCCAATGTCAAATTTCATCAAATTCAGCGTCGGCATCAAATAGGTTGACTCTGACTTCCCACACAACGCTGTCATCAGTTCATAAAGGATTATGTTCGTCCCAAGTTAACCGTTTGTATTACAACAATATGTATAATACAACAAGTACAAACTCCGTAGTCTCCATCTATTTGATAACGCTGAACTAGTTTCCTTTCTATCCTAAGTATCGACCATTTGACAATATCTTGTTCACCAATGCAATACAGGGGCGGCTGGCCGTTAAGTTCTGCAGAGCTGCAGAACTGCCAAAACTTTTGTCTTAACAGAAAAAAGCAGTAATAATTTGATCATCATTTATGTTCCATGCTTATCACACAAATAGAAACAATACCGGCCTGCCCCCCAAGACACGGCGTCGACGTCGAGTCTGTTTTGTACTGAGAAAACAGTATAACCGACCAATTGTGTACTTGTCATTTTTTTCGTTATCGCAGCGTAACATGGGCCACTTGAAAACGGTCTGTGCACTACTTCGACACAAGCCGCACGCGTTTGCTTTTGTCTCTCTCTATAAAATCAAATGCGCGATTTAAGCATGTGCTGCAATTTATACAGATCCGTACAGATCTATTGCGAAGTACGATATCTGATTGGTCGGTCGGTGGGTCCTCGGCATTGGCATTGGTCTTGTCGCGTGACGAGGCTTAAAATTTGAATGCAAACAATTTTTTATTTAGGCATTTTGGGTCTCACGTTGAGTGACTAGTGACTCACTGACTGACTGTGGCTGTGTAGAAGGGTAGTGCAAGACAATGGATGTGCTTTACAGACTTATCAGCGTGAACGATCCTGGAAACACACATTTGAAGAAAAAATTGAGCTTAAGGTGTCAGGTCGACCGCGTTAGTCGGGGGCAAGGGCTATACCTACGCGGCATTTCAGCAGGGAGATTTACACAAGAAATGACTGGATTTGTGGGTGCAACAGGAAGAATGCCGTTTTCTGCTTTCCTTGCATACTTTTCGGCGGTGACAAAGCTTGGACGGAGGTAGGTGTTACAGATTTAGTGCACCTGAGTAAAAAATTAAGAAGCATGAAAACTCTAAAACACATCTTCATAATTCGATGGAATTGGCTTTATTGGGGACTGTTAACATCAGAGCTCAGTTAGATTCAGCTTATTGGAGAAATATACAACAGCATAATGATACCTTTACAAAAAACAGGTAGGGGAGAGGGGGGCATAACGGGGACTTAAGGAAAATAAAGAATAAAAGAATAAACAAAATATATTTTTCAATCAAAACTAATCTTGATACTTTGGTTGCATATTACAGATTCATTTGGCACAGACTTTCGTAAAGTAACTAATCAAATAATATCCTTAAATTTAATTCTACGAAATCCTTATTAAATTCGGTAGGGGCACTACGGGGTACATAGTTATATTGCTTCACAGTATAAGCAGATGTGGATTTCTTTCGAATTTTTGTCGTCAATTCCAGCACAGGCTGTATGAGACCAACGTTCACACAGCTGGCAGGCCACCCAATTCACTGCAGACTTCAAGTAACTAAGGTTCTCGTCAACGCAATAGAGGCATAAGATATCCTCGCCCACTTTTTCTACGTCCTTCTTCTTCTGTTTCTTCGCATTTCTCTTTAAACGGGGATCATTAGGATTTGAACACTTCTTTGTCTGTTTAAGATTTTCACGTTCTTTCAACTCATTTTTGTAGGGGGTTGAAGTGAGAACAACAGTTTTCCCTCTGCGATAATTTTTCCTCGTTTGGTTTCTTTGTTCGACTGTTGGGATCGCGAGAATGTCCTTGGGAGAAGCATTTTCAAAGGAAGTTGTTAAGTCACGACATACTCTTCGAATTGGAGATCGGATCACACTGTCTTCGTTTTGTATAGATGGTTCAGGCTGCGGACTTGGCATAGGAGTTTTCTGATGTGGTGCTCTTTAAGGGAAAGCGGTGGATATTGCTGGATTTCAGCAGATGAAGCACTTGTCTCAGGCTCGCTATTTCTCAGCGGTACGTCTGTTGTTGATGCAGCTAAAAAATCTGAATCTGTGAAGTTGCTTTGATTGAATGGCCATATGCCACATTTTTTGAATGCATTGATCGCTGTAGCCATTGTTGCAGCTTGAATATATGCATGTGCAAAGATTTCGCTTATTTGAAAAGTTGTTATTCTTCGCCCCGGATGCGACCTTAACCAGTTAGAACAAGCTTGGTCATAATATACACTCAAAGGTTTCAAAAAGCCAACATCCAAAGGTTGGAGCCTGTGGGTGCAGTGAGGGGGAAAGCAAAGCATTACAACTCCATTCTTACGTGCACTTTCAATAACCTCTAAGTTTTGTGTGTGCGTTATATGACCATCTAGAAGCAGCAAGACCGGGTTAGTTATTGACGGACCAGAAAACTTGACGAACCGTTGGAACCACGTCATAAATGTCTCAGTAGTCATCCAGCCTCGAGCATTGCATTCTGCCGTCGTTCCTGGAGGAGCGTGATCCAATAACTCCTGCTTCATTCTCTGTCAAGAAAATATCAGCATGGGAGGCATGTAAGTTCCAGCTGCATTACGACTGTGACCGTCTGCCCTCGTTCTGGTGAAGAAAGTGAGCCTACCTGTTTCCTTCCCTTTTCTGCAATTATTATGCTCTTTGTTTTGGAGACCCATGATATGCCAGTCTCATCGCAATTATATATCCTATCTGGCCTTAGATTATATTTATCATATATTTCCCCGAGCAAAGAATAAAATTTATCCACTGCCACTTTGTTGAAACCCCATTGCCCGAGTGCTGATGGCTTTGGTTGGAATTGGAGACGTTTCATGTCTTCAACCAATCTACGCCAGCCATCATTTTATCATGGTTAAAATTATGAGCTTTAGATTTTTTCCGCCAACTGATAAGCCAGCTTTTCGTAGGACGACAGTGGTTAATCCGAACAGACGTTTCTCCATTTCTGGAGTGGAGTTGAGGGACACCGTCGCCCTTTCGTGTTTAGACGACATAACGCTCCAATGTAGTTTGTGGAACACCGTGGAGTGGAGATGCTTTTCTGTAGCCTATTGTGTTGCTCAAAACTGCATCAATTGCTTGTTTCATGCTTTCTTTAGACCAACTGCCTCTGGAACTTTTCTTTTTGTACGTACGTACCATTTTTTATCTGCAACAGATTATTCAAACAGCTTACATAACATGGGCATAATGGGGACAACAGTGACGAGGCACAATAGGGTACCCATTGTACCTCATCACCACGGCCCCTGTTATGCCCCCATGTGTAACATTCTTTTTAATTTCGAACAAACAAAAAAAATTGGTAGTTACAGAGATGTTTTCCAAAACATATCAATAATTGATGTCTCTTAAAAACACAACACAAAATCGATGGTATTACTCTGAACACTTACCTTTTTATATGCGTTTTTGTAACCACTTAAAATTAGATGAAATGACGCCGAAAACAATTAAAGGTTATAAAACAAAATTGCGCGCAGCCTAGTCACTATATACTGTCAGACTGAAGAGTGATGCAACATGGTCGGCTGTTGGCGGTGACAACACACGTGTGCGTAGTTATCTAGATATAGATATGTTGATGGCCCCGTCGTGCCCCACGTCACCATTATGCCCCCCCCTTCCCCTACGTTCTATCAAAAATAATCGATGGTATAAAATTTTGCGGAGCATTTGAATTGGCGCTACGGGGCCACGACGAAACCGAGAGCTCCCAAAACCCGGGAATATTTCGTGGACTGATTAATTTTTCTGCTGAGCTTGATACAACATTAAGCGAACACATAAAAATGCTTCAGTATTTAAAGGAACTTCGAAAGAAATATAAAACGATCTACTGGATTGTATTCTTGAAGTTTATCATAAAGAAATAATAAAACAGATTAACAGAGCCTCGTATTTGGCGATAATAGCAGATGAAACAAGGGACATTTCGGGGAAAACCCAAGTGGTAACAATTTTCAGATACGTATTCAACGGCGAACCAGTAGAACGTTTTTGGAATTATATGAATCCCAAAAAATGTGACGCTGATACTCTCACAAGACATATTTTGAGCGTCGTAGATCCGTTAATAGGAAATTTCCATAACAAACTGATTTCACAAAGCTATGATGGAGCCGCGGTAATGAGCGGACATAATGCTGGAGTATAGACAAAAATTAAACAAAGATATCCATTTGCTCACTATGTGCATTGCTATGCGCATCAGTTAAACCTGATTATGTCCCAAGCTGCTTCCGCAAATGCTCAAGTTCGGGTGTTCTTTGGGGATTTGAAAGATATTCCGGAATTTTTTAATAATTCTCCTCAACGCGTAGAGGTACTGAAGAGAATTGTGAGGAAAAAAATTCTCCAAGGAGCAACAACTCGTTGAAATTTTAATATTCGAACAATAAATGTAGTGTTTGAGAACAGAGAATCACTCATTGAATGCATGGAAGAAGTAGAAGGAAATTTCACTAATGAAACCGTTTTCAAGGCAGCTTGCGGAATTCTCCGCAAACGATTCTGTTTCCGTATTTTGGTTGACATTTTTTCATCATTTGCAGAACACCTGTTTTATTTTGCCACGAGCCGCCATTGGCAATAGATGTTTGAATAAAGTCGGTGGTATATAAAATAATTTTTTCTTCTGTAGGAATGAAAATTTTTCCCAATTTCAACCCTACTGGCGAAGCCTGTGGAACGAACATTTTGTATATGTATATGTATTGACCAGCTATCTGATGCTATTAGTATATAACGTTAAGTCAGTATGTTAATGAACTCCTAAGATATATACAGGGGGTCCTGAAAGTTGGCACTTTCCTTTTCAGAGTCAGCTACGTTTGCAATACGAAATCTGATCTACGGCAAAAAAAAAACCGAAAACGTAAAATGGAATTGAAGAAAAATCCCTGTTCATCTGGTAAAGAATTCCTAGTACTCTCCTGTCACATGTTTTGTTTGTAAGCACTGCCTGAAGTTGTCGCTGTATGATTCAGAAACAGGAGTTTGCTAACCTCTCCCTAAATTTGCAACATTTCGAGCTGACTAGGTCTTAAGTTGTGTTCAGCCAGACGGCTTTTTCACGATATAAACAAACAAATGTTGAATGTGCCAATTTCGATTTTTCCAATGCGGTGGTCTATTTATTGCTTTTTGGAACCTAATATCTCGGTTACCTTAAAGCTTTGCTATAGGGTAAGTCCGGAGAAGATGGCCGTAGTCAAACTATTAGTATATTTTTAGAAACTGTTATTTCAGACGAGTATAAAAGAACACAAAGTAATTAACAAACTTTAATCAAATAAAATAAAAAACAGTACAAGTAAAACTCTCGATTGGCCATCTCTCTCGAAGTGCCCGGGAGAGATGGTCATGGTAGTACGGGAATGATCAACTCTTTTTTTAGTTTTCTGCTTCTCTTCTCTTTTTTTGATCACATTTAGAACTCATGTTGTCAAATTCGGTACAGTTTTCATGAACCAAAAATGAACAAGTGATACATTGCAATCAGTAGGGTGGGTAGAGTAATAATTTGCCCCACACCCAGCGCAATTATCTTGCTCATTTTTGGTATCATTGTCTGAAACGCAGAGTATTGATTCTTCTTCCTCCTCACTGCTTTCTGAAATATTTCGTACAGCTTTTCGCTTCCTAGTTACCATTATCTTCTCAGACTTATTCTGTTTTTTGTTAAACTTTTTCTTTCTTAATTTTATCTTCTCTACTTTGGCATCTTTTTCCTGGTCTTTGCCTTTTCTTAACTCTCTACGACATTCAGATGGTAAAAGAATGCCGACTTGCTTTGTCCTTTTTCTAGCTTCAACAACTCTCTGTGGTATTGCTGAAACTTGTTTCAGAATTTTAGAGAGTGTAAGTTCTTTTTCAAGTTTTTCCACACTCTCGTTGCAAGAAGCACTAAAACTTGTTTCATTTGATTTTTGGCCTGTGGTTAGTCTTTAGCAGCTAGAAGTATTTTCTTCGGAAGAATTAGATAGTACTGATTGATTAGTGCAAATGATTTTCTGTGCAGCAGATGGCATTTTAGATGTACTCGGTGTTGCTTCAACACAGACCTTTCATTGTTGGCATTAGAACAGGTGATGTTACGGGTAAACTTCAGTATGTTAATAAACTTTGAGATGCTGTTGGATTAAGTGTTTTTGTCTACCAAGCTGCTAAGAAATGCGTACTCCGGTATTGCAGTTGAGTTAAAAAGGAATACTCCTGTAGCTTTAAAGCCTGCTGTAGCATTTTCAGCAGAGGCAACTTTTACCTAAGCATTACTCAGCAACATTCCAAAACATAGTCTTGTAATTCGCGTACTAGTATGTTGTTTCATCCAAAGTCTGCATTGTTGCATTGTTCATAAAAATAAGTCTTCAAATATTTCAACACAGATCTGTCTGAAGGTTGCAAATAATGCGACGTGTGACTTGGGATAGATAATAATATGATATCATTAGCAACTGCATATTCTAACATTTTTACGGAATTACAGTAAGTATAATGACTATCTAATAGCTGTAAAACCTTGACCGGTGGTTTTCTTGGCACGAATAGGGTTCTAAGCCATTCTAAAAAGAGAGCAGATGTAATGTAAGCTGACTTTTCTGACATCAAATCTTAGAGGCATTACATCTGAGTATTCAGTTTTTTATTTTTTACCTTTAAAAATGCAAGCAGGTGGCAAAAAAGTTCCTTCGGCGTTGCAATATCCAATAACAGCAATAGTTTCTCCTTTTTCGGTAGAAGTTATCGTAGATGCAGCTTTTGATTATTTTTTTGCTAAAACGTGTCCTGGCTGATTATTTAATTGCAGACGCGTTTTATCGATATTAAAAATACAGTTTGTTTTCCAATGAGGTCATTAGATCATTATCTGTCAAAACCTGCTCCAATCACATGAAATAAGCGTGGACTTCTACTCTGCTCAAAGCTTAAGATCTAGCCACTGAAACTCCTTTAGACTCTCCTAGTGAAATATCAGCGTTTCTTTTCAAAAACATTTGCATCTAATCATAACCAGCTTTTTCAATTTTTTTGCTGAATCTGTGAGATATTTTAATCGCCCTGCAAAACTAAAAACTATTGCCAAACATCATCAATAGAAATCCTTTACTTTGCATGGTTGTTATATGAGTGACAAAGTCTTTGTTCATTTGTTGTCCAAGCATAGAAAATTGCCCCATAGGTCCTTTTTTATCATTTTCACATTTGTATCTTCGTTCCAATGTTTTACGTGGAACGCCGTAACTTTTAGATGCAGAGCAGATGGTCATTTCCCCATTTTAACAGAACTAATAGCGGCCTTTAGTGATTGTTCTGTCCAATTACCGCGCCCTGTAAATATTTTTGTATTGTAGACATTCGGCATCTGCAATGAAAAGTGAAAAATTTTATTAAAATTAAATGTATAATAAGGGCATCTTTACCGGACCGCGTACGGCCATCTCTCCTTATTTCACCGGGAGAATTTTGATGTTAGAATGCAAAAAAACAATCATACTAAACTTCAGAAGACATAAAATCTATAAATTTCTATTAAAATATTAAAACGTGAACCACTGAAAAATGTTTGCACTTTTGTAAACAAATAAAGACATTTTTACCTACTTTTTAATTTAATTTCACTTCAATTGAACTGGCCATCTCTCCCGTACGGCCATCTCGCCCGGACTTAAACTATATGTTACGTTACTAAAAAACATGCTTATTATTGCCTGACATATACGCCCCTATAAGTCCCAACTTAGGAGGAGGACATCCTGTATAGTATTTGTTATTGCGCAAAGATTGTTTCCTTAAGTATTCAATAAAAGTTTTATTGATGTCGAATGTGAATTTTTAAATATTTTGTATCTACATATCTAGTAGTCTCAATGACCCCCCTGCCTCCTAGACGATAAAATAATTCGATTTGGCGTTTGACGGATGACCGCACTTCCGATCTTCTATCCAGCAAGAGGCAGCGAAGTACCAAACGGGTTTCCATGGATTCCCAAGATCTTCCAGGAAGTCATTCATTTAGACTTTCCAAAGCACAGATCACTGAGGGCATCGTTTCGGCATTGGCTCTCTTCTACAAATATACTAGAGAATTTTGCTTCCTGAACTAATAGAACTACTCCTAAAAAGTCTTGTCCAGATTTGTAGTGGGTATGTACGAATACAACGTCAACCATCTTCAAGTCCATTTAGCAAAGACGCTGAGGTATTGATTATTGTTCATGTAAGTGATGTATGGTCATTAAACAAACCAGGCCGCTTCATTTCCATATGATGTCTTCTCATTTCCAATATCCAAGCATCTCGATCTACTCCATTCAACACAAATTACTAAATATGTTAAGTACAGCTACCCGTAGTCCCCAGAGTAACAGAGGAAAAGTGAATTAATATACCGTATTCAAATTGTCGGAGATGAGCTTGAAGATATGCAAACAGATAAAAATCGTATCCGGAGGCAGCCTTAAGAGGCTTTTCGGGCCAACAACAGCCGAGATTTTATCAACCAAAATACAAATCGGTACCTTGTAGGATCGCCGCATCATACAGCTTCTTACACATTTAAGGAGATAACGACCACGGAGACAAGTGATGCCAGAGCTGTAGCATTCTTTTTTCAAAAGAGGTAAACTTAGAATGACCACTAGAAACGATGTTGATCTTAAGGTTTTTTAACAAGCGTGCGGTTACAAAGCAGTTTATGAGGTGTTTCTAAAAATAAATTGTAAGGATACGCATTGGTCGCTTAAGATTTTCATTTTACTTCCAACACTAACTGTACATCACGAACAACCATGTCACTTATTTCCGTCAGTCTGTCGACCTGTTCGCTAATTTTATAACCGCCTATAACTTGAAAAGTGCCTCTCGGATTTTAACGAACTTTTCACACAAGGTTACTGCTATGCCAAGGATGAAGAAGCTTTTAGTTTTTGAAAATCAGTCTAGTGGTGGCGAAGCTAGGAATAAAAACACGAAAAAAGAAATAAAAAACGCTTAAACTATTTTGGTCGTTTCAGAGGCTGCGTGAATTTTTTGTGGGGGTTGAAACTTGAGTTTGGGGGCTGTAGAGGGTAAGCGGTTGTGAATATAATGTCTTTGGTAGTAGTCAAAGACGTTATATTATTAGGAAGCTTTTGATTCCGGTAAAAGCGGGAAAATTTAATGACAAAAGGCCGATGTATAATGAGCTCGTAACTTGAAATAACTGCAATCATTGGCGTTGCGTGCATAATGCGATGCAGCATCGTCGTGGAGGCCACTGCAGGGGCAATGGGTAACAAGCTCCAAATGGTCTGTGGTGGTGTCACTTTTGTAAATAACTTAACTGTTCTTATATCTACACACATATATTTTTCTGTATTTTATGATCCTTAAATTTACCAGTCATTTCGCCTATCCTATAATTTGTGTTACTGCGTCTATGATGATTCTCCGAATATTTCGTAGATTGACTCAGTACTTATGACGCATTAATTTACAACAGAGGCGGACTGACAAACTGACATAAATGAAGAACACGTATTTGTGTGATGAGTATATCTTTAAGTAACAGAAAACTTGTGAACCAAAGTTCGAATATTATCGCGAGTTTAATACTTCCATGGTTTAGGTAGACATAGATTTTGAAAATTGATAAAGAGGCGGCGGTTGAGTTGCTTTGATTTCAACTCTTTCGCTTCACTGTTTGTATTCTCATTCATTATTATGAAGACCATTTCCTTGAATTTCTCCAATGTCCGTGTGTTCCTTTGTGTAAGATCTTAGCGTGATCTCAAAGTATTCTGTGGTCCTTTATCCGAGCGAGATCTGCTATTCCAGATTTATTCGCTTCTCCCCGCTGTGTGTTGGATTTATGTTCTTCTATTCTTGCTGAGAGTTGTCTTTTTGTCTCTCCTATGTATATCTATCCGCAGTCACATGATACCTGGTATATAGAATAATTGGTGTAATTTTTAATAATTCATAGCTTTTGCCTTTGTAAGGCTACTGCGAAGTGTGGTGTTCCTTGAAAATCTAGTTTAGATTTGGTATCGTCTTCCTATTCGTCTGATTGCATCACTTATTCGCTCAACGTATGGTAGAATTAGTATATTCTGGGGTTTACTCCGCGTGTCTCTGCTGTTGTTGCTGTTGTTTTCCTTCCGAACTTCATTCACATCAGTCTTCTTTGATGTGGTGGATTTCTTCCTGGACGTTTGCTTGCGTGTTGCAGATACTCTTTGCCCGGTCGATGAACGCTCTAATTTCGCACTTCATGGTTGCTGAATCACTGGAACAAAAATTTAGGTATTATCGTGTATGTTTTGGTTTTATATATACAATAGTTTCTATTTTGGAACTGTACTTTGTTACCATCACGTCCAAGAATGGGAAGCTGTTGCAGTTCTCTTCTGTTCTAAAGTCTACAAGGAAGAAGAGAACAACACCCTCCCATTATATCTAATAAGAAATCGCTACCCAAGACGACTGATAAATGAAGTTCTGAAATATAAGATAACATGTTTGTTGATTATTTTTCTATTTTTCTTATTAATGAAGTCACTACTCGTACGTAAAATGGTAAAACTGGGATCTTGAGTAGTTAGCTTGTTCAACGGAGGAGGAGAACCTGTGTCGTATTCACAACTACTATACGAATATTGCTTGCACCCGTTGTGTTCAACGTTTTTATTAAGACATTTGCAGAGACAGCAAACCATTAGTCGTTTGAGATACTATAGGTATACATAAGTAATATCTCCACAAAATTTGAAGAACATTACATAATATTTTTAGGTTTTTACAGGTTCAAAAATTGCATTTTTACATAATTTTATGGAAAGGTAATCTTCTTGTAGTAGATTCAAACACCTTCAAAATGGAGGTTAACACTAGTTAATAGATGGACGTTGTTGACAAATCCGCTAAAGACAATTGAAATTTAACATTATATTATTAGGTAATCAATAAAAGCTACAACAGCAGTAAATTTGAAAAGATAGCATTTGTGCTGTTTAGGGTTGGTTAAATATTTTAGATTGATTCAAACAATAGTTTACGGAAATTTGTAACTATTTATCAGATAGATCATCTTGTAACAGCATCGCCCTGTTCAGCATGGGAGCTACAATATGTTTTTTCTAGTACGCCGTGAAAGAGGAAATATTTATCTATTTTATTTTTGTCTCTGCACCTATTATGTAATATAGACAAATAAAGGTTTAAGTACACGTATATATTTATTTTTTAATCCTCCTATTCCCCTTATTCTGATCATCGTTTTGCATTTGGTAGTTATTTATAAGATATTGGTATTCAATACTCATAATTTACACGAGTACCCCGACAAATAAGTACTCATACTTGTAGTACTTTCGCTTAACACTCATTTCGTTTTCTCGGCACTCTACCCAGCTCTCATAGAAGGCCTCATGAGTCTCGAGCTGGGTACTACTGCGCCTGTGGCAGCTTTTGTTAGCCGTGGGCCCTGTGGCAGTAGTACCATCTCTAAGGTCGTACCTGTACGGCTGCGGCGGGCGCGCCAGTGTCCGTCCGGCGCCACCGAAACACACCTCCGCGGACGGTGAAGGCGCCTTCAAAGAAGAACGAACCAAACCACCGACCGGCCGCCGATGCAAAGAAACAATGTAAACCTGTCAACCGGAAATGCCGCTCCATCACAAGAAGACCCCGTGTTCTTCGATTCATTTGACACGAATACGCTTGCGGGGATCGTTGTAATAGTATTCTTATCTGATAGTAGCAAAGTACGAGTATCTCTGTACTCCTGGCCGAGATTAACTTCGATTCTAAATCTTATCTGTGGTTGTCTCTCTGATCCGTTTTGTCCATCCTTAGTCAATCATTTAAATCACGTGTAAAGTAACGAGGAACTTTAATGACGTACCAGGATCTCCGTTGAACCAGAACTGAGTAATGAAACTTACATCTAAACTGACGTTGCATTGGGATATGTATCTTCAAACAACAACCTTGTTTTTAAGCTATCTGCATTTTTGATTAGTCAGAAATATAAGAAGTAGTGTACCCATCCCTAAGAACACCACATTCTCCTAACCATGAACTAAAATGAGACATACTCGTACAACAAAGAAACCTCAAAGTGGTGGAATCAACTACCACCATTTGAATACCACGATACCATAGTATAAGAGAAGTTGGTGAAAGAACAAACAGGTTGTTCCAATATTCCATGGAAACAGAGGTGCTACGTATTTTTGCCTCGAAGTAAGTCGACTGGACATGATTTACCTCTATGCAAAAGTGCTTCGTTTGTCCGTTGGAAAGCGTAAAAACTAAGATACTTCAAGTACCGATAGACGTTCTAATATTTGACTTTTACGAAAAACTCACAAGAGCCCAAGAAGGGTTAGAATTAGCCCCATTTTTGTATCCTATAAAAACAAGCCATCTCGGTATGATTTCTAGACAAAAAAAAAATAGTTGCCAGTTCCCAAGCGTCTTATTAATTCTTCAAGTGTAGTTAGCGAAAATAAGCAAGTACGTATTACTTGTTCCTATTTTATTTAATACAGCCAATAGTACGAATCTTTCATAAAAGGTGTTCGATATGACCACCATTTTCGTTACTGCTTATAACAATACGGCGCAAAAGAATATAGGTAATTTCCTCTAAGATGTCATTATTCTATATTTATTGTATTTGCAGCATTTTGAATCCAGTCTCATATCCTCCCTCTACAGGGTGTAAGCGTTATGATAGTCATTATTTAAATGGGTGATAGAGGGGGTTAAAAGAAGCAAAAGTTTCATATAACATGAGGGTCAAAACGGCATTTTTTTAGAGAAAAGCGACTTTAAAGTAAAATAAAATCTGACAACGCCGCAATGCCAGACGTAAATTACGACGGAACGCAGTGTAAATAAAGATGGAGTTTGTTATTTTTGACTCTTAGGTATTAGTTCATTATTTGATAATGTACTCGTAAAATGCAAACAATTAAAAAAAACGGCCTTATAAATAGGGAACACAATTTTGATACATACATTGTTTTTCTTTTTAAAATCCACACTGCACTTGTTTTGTATTTAAAGAAGGTGTTCAAAATGTCGTCCTCCACTTTCCACACAAGCTTCAATACCACGAACCCAGTTTCTTCTTACTCTAGGTCCTCGAAGTTGTCCATTTATTATTTCAGCCACATTAAAATTTTGTTCGCACAGTTGTTATTGGACCAGCTCCATAAACCATCCCTTTGAGTTCTCCCCAATACCAGAAATTCATCGGATTGAGGTCAGGAGATCTTGCTGGCTATTTTCGAGGATCAGGAGCATTTCGACCGATCCAGCGGATAATGTTCATTCAAATACTGGATGACGCCTCTAAAAATATGTGGTGGTGCCCGCTCATGAAGAAACCACAAATTCTGTCTCCATTGTATTGGCATGTTGACTAAGGTCTGTTCCCGAAGTTCTGGTAGGTTATTGGCTGGAAAGCTAAGGTATCCTTCTCCTGACAACTTTGTGGGTAACTCGAAAGGGCCAATTGCCTGATCGTCAAGAATACCCGCCCAAATATTTATTTTAAAACGTTGTTGAAAGTGACCTTCACGAATAGTATGAGGATTTTCTTGGACCCACTTGTGAGTACTATGGAAATTTAATATCCCGGCTTGCGTAAAAGTATATTCGTCCGCCGCTAGAATGTTTTTAAAAAAATCGTAATTTCATTGATTTTGTGCAAAAACCACTGACAGAATGTGAGTCTGCGAGGATAGTCTTCTGGTAATAAGGCCTGAACTCGTTGTACATGGTAGGGATAAAGTAAATTTTCCCGTTGGATTCTATGGACTATGGTATGCGATAGTCCTACGCGGCGGCCTAATTCCTGAGTGCTGATATCTGCATTGATTTCCACGATACACGATACACTTGCACAAATGTCTTTCTGACTGGGTGTACTCGTTGGCGAAATCTGTGGCGATAAATTTGAGCTGCAAGATTTGAATTCTGACGAGCTTCACCGTAAACTAACAACATGTCGGCGAACTCTTGATTCGAGAACATTGTAAATGAACACAACGACGTACGCGAACAATAACTAACCACTGTTTTGTTTGCGATCGATTGCCGGTTCGATAAGAGTGACGAAAAACCGACGCGTTGTTGTCACGTGTGTTTTAAATATTTAATTTAATGAAACTTACTTACTGACTACAAATTTTGGCTTAACTTAGAAATACTTTTGCCATTTATTTGTTAATTACCCAATTTAAAAACTTTTTAGATTAGATTATAAAAATTAGTAAGATTGTGGTGATCGATATAAAACACTTTAACTATAAAGCCAGTTAGGCAAAAATCTATTGACTTTTGGACCATGGGTCATATGAACTTTTTGACTTGTTTTACCCATTTTAATAATGACTACCATAACGTTTACACCCTGTATAAAGATTCGTAAGGATGAACATCCGGAGAACAAGGTAACCATTGAATAGGAGCTTCTTGACCTCTACCATCAAACTTCTCGTTCAGGTAGTTTCTTACAGCACGCGCAAAGTGAGGTGGAGTATCATCATGCATAAAAAACATGTATCTTCTTACATTGGGATGCCTACTAGATTTTATCACTTCATGTATTAAGACAAATTCTCAGAAATGGAATGGGTGTATATTCGGTAAAGCTGGGCTAAAAAGTACTGCTCGAATCTTTATGAAACTTTGACAACGACAAACAAGCTTTGTACAATTGAAAAATCGATCCACAAACATCGGAACATTTTGTGCGGGATCAAAAAGAAAATCAAAATGCTTCTTCAACTGATAACTGATAACGCCTTCCACTGTCTAAGTCAAACCAGTGGATTCCGTTTTAATTTACTTTTCTGAGGAGTACATCACGAAAAATATGACACAAATTACGTATTCCCATCTATCTTCATGTCTGTCTCCCCAGTGATCCATGATAATCGAATTTGGCTGAAATTTTGATAAAGCATCAGTACTGTGCAAAGAACAAAAAAGTTGAATAAGTGTTCAAAGTCGATCAGATAACGGCGAAGTTATGACTGAACAACAAAAATTCCATATTGCCCACAAGTTCAGTATTGGTGCATGTTCAAAAAAAAATACCTGGAATTTGTGGAAATATACATGTACATATTATGTACACTCAAAAATAAGACGTGAAAAGTACAAAGTCAGTCTTATGTAACTTCCGAAACATATCATGTGATTTTTATGTTCATAGGACTTCATTGTCTGACCGAATCAAAACCACATATCGGTCATTGTATTTTTTACACAGATGCAGCCGAGAAGGCACGTCTAAATGCCAGGGCACTGCGGCTGCTATAAGGAGCATAAAAAATATTGTCTGGCAGGCACATCGCGCGGCGGCCTCATGGAGGAGAGCTATGAGGAGCAAAGTCCATTGGCATAGCGGTGCTAGTGCTAGTGCCGACAGCCCACCAGTGCGAAACGGACTCGAAACTGTCCGTTAGAGAAGAGTCGGACAGCAGCCCCTCATCTGAACAGCATCGAGCATAGATAATGTATCATGTGGAGAAAAGTACTTTTCAGCCTTAGACAAATAGATTAGCTTTTTGCCAGCAGCTGCCGCTATGGAAGAAATATGTTCATGCCAGATCAAGTGCTCAGTAATCTGGACTCCAACCAGCTGAAATAAATGGCTCTTTGGTAGAACTCGGGCATCCAACCTTAAGTTCATACCTCACCTAAATAACATTACTAAGATATGATATACTGTCCTACGTCAATTATCTCTTAAGAGGCAAATACTAAAATTCTTAGAGTGTACTTGATTTTGTTTGGCATTTTACGTATTCAAATATGGGGCAGTGCCTACCCGCCACCTTCTTTTGGGCTTACTCCTTACATTGGTCATAGTTTTAATTTTAGAGCTGCCATAAGTTTTTCTTTAACAAGCGTTAACTTTCTGAGGGTATATTACCTACAGTACATTTTTCTTTTTTGCCTTTGCTTTACTTTTCTTGTAAAAGAGGATGTACATGGTATTTCTTCATCTTCCGAGTGTTTAAATGCGTAGTCTCAGACAGAGAATAGAGTAAATTTTTGAGCAGTCTTTCTCTCTATGGTTTTTTAAACCATAAATTTTGAGAACGAGGCAAGCAGCCCTTACCTTGTGACGTTCGTCATGTCTCTGCTGCCATTGGTTTTTGACTCAAGCGTTTGTGAGCTAAGGACATCTCGGCTGCGCCTATACCCGTGACTGGAAGACCACTGTCAAGATAAGTTCAGGTTTAGGCATTAAAATATTTGTACGTCATACGTGTACCATGGTAAACGTTTTGCAGGGTTGATTATCACGGCTAATAATTTTATTTTGCGGCAGTTTAATAATGATATCCCTTTTTTTAACTTGAATTCCATTATTATTATTATTATTATTATTATTGCAAGCAGTGATGACCTCCAGGTCTCGTCTCAGAAAGAAAGTATCTGCTAGTCTTCTTTTCTCTAGCTCACCGGCAAGATCGGCTTAAGGATAGCGATAAAGTGATACAGTGGAAGAATGCTTAAAAGACAAAATACGATTGGTATACTAGGTATCTTTGGAAAAAGAAACGTACTTCAGGGTCAAACCACGATCAACAAAATCAGTATAAAAGCAAATTGTTGCCAGAGTCCGTACAATAGGAAAGAAATTATCCAGATAATAACAAGCCTGGATAACAGTTATTGCATGGATTTGTGTTTTTTTTGCTCTTGCTGACGCACTTGATTTCGAGCATAATTTAGAGACTATGCAAAAAGGCGTAAAAATCTGTCTCACACTATGTGCTTGAAATGAAGCACAGATATAATGAGTAGGACTCTAGTTCACATGTATATCGTCTTTGGTATTTGCAGAGCACCTCTATCAATGAATCTGCTTCATCATGGTATGAAAATGCAAGTCCGGATGCGCGGCTGAATCAATTGAATTATCTTCTCTGTTAGTGTTATGTGTGTATTATCATCATTTTTCTTTCAAGAACGCGCGTTAATGAAATGATTTGCAAGTACACGGAAGGTCGTTATAGAGGCATATTTATGATGACGAGACCACCATTGAGGTCACGACGATACAGACAGAGAGAGAAGAACTTAAGCTCGTAATTATTTAATACTGTTTACTTTTCATTCAAGTGGACATGCAACGTTAGAGTTACGAAATGTGTACTGTTGTGGATATATCTATTATGTCTGCTTAAGATGTTGATGGAGTTTCCATTTCCATTTCATGTTTCTCTGGTGCGGTTCATTTGAACGTTCACTGATGACAGCCAAACATGATATATTTACATAGTAAGAAACAAAAAGTGTATGCACCACAGATAACACATTTTTAAAAACCAAAGATTCATAAGTAAAATTGCTTAACGTAACCATAAAAGAGGATCAACGTCGGAATGAGAGATGATAAGTTGTAAACTTGTATAAAGCTTCTTTTTCCATTACTAAAATTAAAATTTTTCTCAAGGGTCTCATGAAATCTCGCATCCGAGTTTTAAGATATCGCTGCCCTAATAAGAAAACTGCCTTACTCCACTTTTTCCACAAATGACATTTTGGTTACTTCTTTTAGAAAATGCCACCCTTCATCGACCTACCAAACGGTATGTTCATAGAAAAATCTACATTCACACAATAACCTAAACAGAAATATATATTTGTGTCAGAAATTGTAAAAGTCGCACGAGTTAGTATCCGCAGGCCGCTAAGAACAAAGCAGTAGGATATAACTAGGCTGATGGCAAGAAAAAGAACATTACAGAAGAAAAAACAGTACCGCATTTTATATGAGTCAAGGTGTAAGAAGGAAAAATCAAAATCATTCAGAAGAAAAAGAAGGAAAAGCAATACAATGTAACAGTAATAAAGAGGAGGTATTATTAAATGACATCATAAAAGCAAAAGAACAAATCATCCTATCCAAAGATGAAATAATTCTGGCAAAAGACATAATAATAAAGGAGCTATACGAAAAGATTTCCTTACTGTATGAAAAAATTGCAACAATCAGTTGCAGAACCAATGGTAAGATAGAAGAAAACACCGATCAAGATATTTGTATCAAGAGAACAGAAGCTTTGAAACCGTCATATAGTTCAGTGGTGAAAAAGGGAAATACAAGTTCTAACAGCATTATTATAAAACCAAAAGAAGTACAACAAGACATGCAAACAAAAAAAGATATTCTGAAAGTTTTAAAACCTGCTGAGTTGAATGTGAAACTTACAGGAGTAAAACAATCCGAAAATGGAACATTAAAAATTTCGTGTGCAGATGAAGGTGGTGTTCAGGAAATAAATGAGGTAATCAATAAACAACTGAGCAGCTCGTACAGAGTGAACATCGTAAGTAGTCAACAAAAACCTAAGATTAAGATAGTAGGTATAGAACAGATGGTTGAAAATACAGAACTTGTTAACATTATAAAACAAGAGAACATGTTTATTGACAGCGATGCATATATATATATATATATATATATATATATATATATATATATATATATACTTATATATATATATTGCCATTATAGAATGTGACCCCAAAATCTTTCATAGTATCATGGAAAACAGAATATTATGTATTAATTTAACAATAAGCTCAGTATATGAACACATTAATTTGTTAAGATGCTACAATTGCAGCGGCTTCAACCACACTGCTAATAAATGTACCGGAGGGATGTTCTGTTTAAAATGCGGTGAGGGAGGACATAAAGCAGATATATGCACGAAATCAAATATATCTTGCCCAAATTGCTTGGAACTTAATAATAAATTTAAGTTGAATTTAAAGATTGATCATTCTGCTTTTGACAAAGTAAATTGCACAGTAATGAGGAAGAAGCTTGAAAGAGCAAGAAACAACATAAATTATTCTATATAGCAATCAAAGGGCAAGTCAGAAAATTCATCGAAGAGTCCAATCATTGCTCACAGTGAAGGCGTCACGAAAAACTGTAGCACGCTAAACGTAGCACATGTGAATATTCGATCACTTATTCCTAGCTTTAATATGTTTTCAGACGTTTTGCTAGAGCAGAACCTTCATATTATAGCACTAACAGAGACTTGGCTTACACATGATTTTCCTTCGGATTTAATTACTCTGCCAAATTACCAGCTGATTAGAAATGACAGAGAAGAAAGAGGAGGTGGAGTATGTTTTTACATCCAGACCAACATAAAATTTAAAGTCATAGATTGTAACAACATTTCTTCAAATGGCATTGAACAAATGTGGTTATCGCTAAAACTAAATAATAAGACCATTGCAATAGGTGCTATACCGCCATCTATTGCATTAAGTCTACTTTCTAGCCTTGAGAATAACCTTGCTTCTATATACATTACCCACGATGAAGTTATATTGATGGGTGATGTGAATATTGACCTCACCGATAAGTCTTCCAATCCCAGTAAAAAAATTTTTCAAACCATGGCATTATTCAATCTCGTTCAGGTTATTAATGAACCCACAAGAATTACCAAGAATTCAGCTACAATGATTGATGTAGTTTTTGTATCAAATACATTCCATGTGCGCAAGAGGGGCATGGGAGATATAAGAACTGATCACAGGTTATGCTTCTGTGGATTGAAGATTAAAATTCCAGAATACACTCCTACAACATTTTATTGCCTGTGACTTTTCCCACTTTAATTATGATGAATTTGCTGAGAATGCAACTGCTGTGTATAAATAATCTACAAAGTCTTGATGATAAAGTCCTCCATCTTACTGAGAACATTACCTTGCTTGTATGACATACATGCTCCGATGAAAAGAATTAGACCTCATAAGTTCTACAGGCCGTACGTCACCTATACAATAAAATGTATAATAAATTTAACCCTTTGAGCCCCACGGTTAGCACCAAAAACCATCTTTCAAAGCTCATTTTGCTATTTTCCTAGCGGTATCCCTGGCTAACCATAGTGTGTAACGTGTTGCCTAATGCATGCTGAACCTGTATTCAGCGGAAACAAACGAAATAAACTTATATTTGGTGCGTATTCCTGCTTCGTATAACGTCAAATGTCCAAGTAGGTTAACGGCTAGTACAGGGTGAAGATTTTATAGATCAATTAGTAGTTTTTTGGTGAAAAAGTGTATAAAAATGGCTGGTAAGTACAAATAATCTGTGTATATGGCTTATTATGGTCGAATTTTGCACGCATCTGATTTCTGATTCGCAAAATATCACATTATTTATGGTGGTTTTGTGTAGTAACCACTAGGAAAGTACCCAACTTTTGTTTTTTGACAAAAGTTATTTATGTGTAACTTTGTGACAATTTTAATGTCAACTAATATTTTCTGGTTTCATTTATGTGACCCATTCTTTTCAGCGAAAAAAAAAATGGTCGATCGCTGAATTGGAAAGTATGAGCCTAGCTGATATTTATAAAATTGTAGAGGATGTAGACGAGGTACCTAGTGATAATGAGTCAGTACTAGATGATCTGGACGCTGTTATGAGTGATGAAATACCCATTACTCAAGAAAATGCTGACCTAAATAATGATCTTTTCAATCTTCGGAATATGGATGTCATTTTTGAGGACTTGATCGAAGATGAAAACTGCTCTTTAGACAATGCGCAGTGGGAAAGTGACGATGATATTCCACTAGCTAGAAGAAATGATATATTTCTGCCTTGCTACTGGACCAAGGATACAGTATACATCAACAAACCAAGCAAATTTGAAGAAGAGGCTGGCCCCAATTTGCCTGATATCATTGAAACACCTACGGACGTTTTTTTGCACCTATTTTCTGAAGACCTCATCGACCATATTGTTTTTCAAACAAACCTATATTGTGTACAGTAATTTGGCGATGGAAGAAACTTCGTTCCTACAACGAAGGATGAAATCAAAGTTTTCTTCGCTGTAAACTTGCTGATGGGTGTAAAAAGGCAACCCAGTTATAAAGATTACTGGTCGTCAGATGAAGTGCTCAGAGACTCATTTATTAGTGGCTGAATTTCCAGAGACCGTTTCGCATGGTTACTAAGTAATATTCACCTCAATGATAATTCCGTACAGCCCAGAAAGGATCAGTCATCATATGACAAACTTTATAAAGTGAGGCCACTTCTTTCCAGATTACAAGAGACATTTCTTTCTTCACTTAAGCCAAATGAGTTTCAGTCAGTAGATGAATCAATGATACGGTTCAAAGGCCGCAGTAGTATCAGACAGTACATGCCAATGAAACCTATAAAGCGCGGTTATGAGGTTTGGGTCAGAGCAGATTCCAGTGGATACATGTGTGAATTTCAAATCTATACCGGCAAGGTGGATCACGCTCCAGAAAAGAAATTAGGAGAGAGAGTTGTTATAGATCTAAGTAGAAACTTGGTTGGAAAAAACCACAAGATTTACTTTGACAACTTTTTCAATTCTGTCGAGTTACAAAGACAGTTGATCAACAATAAAATATACTCTTGTAGTACCTTACGAAATTGTAGAAAGCACTGTCCTGAATTCAAGTCAGACAAGGATATGAAACGTGGTGAAGTCGATTGGCATGTTTCCAAAGATGGTTTAGTTGCCCTGAAATGGGTAGACCGGCGTAGCATACTTATGTTGGGAAATCACAATGATCCCTCTGTTTTAGATACAGCATCTAGAAAAAGAAAAGACGGCTCTCCAGAGGATATACCATGTCCCCAGATGGTTTGTGAATACAATGCCCATATGGGCTATGTGGATCGCTTTGATATGTTGAAAAGTCTCTATGAAGTTAACAGGAAAGCACATAAGTGGTGGCATAGAATTCTATTCTACTTCCTAGATGCTTGCGTTGTAAACAGTTTTATACTCTTCCAGCTAAGAAGTAACTCTAAGGGATTAACTCTGATTAAAATTCGACTGTCTTAGGCACGAGGTCTCATTGGAGTAATAGAACCCACTAAACGAGGAAGACCATCTTTTGCACCTACTGTAAATAGATTCAAGAAGGTGGTACCCTATGAAGTACGATACTGTAAGGCTTCTCACATGCCTGAAAGATCAACATCTCTTAGATGCTCCCACTGCAGTACACTTGATAATCCACATAGAACTATATGGAAGTCTTCGACGTGTCATGTGGGATTATGCTTGAATAAAGATAGAAACTGCTTCTCACTGTTTCACAAAAGATAACTTTTTTTAATTCTTTTTTGAAAGTGTACCTTAGTTCCTGGTGGTTAGCGTTGGTGACCACGTCCTGAAGGATAGGTACACATGTTTATTTGAGAGTACTTTGTTTTAGAGGTTTATTTGTACTATTTTTAACTCATTGTTCAATAAATTTTAGGAGTTTGTGAATTTTAATTAATTTCGGCTCAAAGGGTTAAAATGAAAAGCTTACAATAAATTCAAAAGAACTAGATCTGAAACAGATCGATTGTTTTATAACGATCTTAGAAATTACTCAGGTGTGGCTTTAAGGAATGAAAAAACAGCTTATATAAAATATCAACTAAATAAGACCTGGAATAATCCCAAGCAACTATGGAAAGGCTTCGCTAAATTGAATATACACCAAAAATCCACTAATCAGATATCTCAGGGCATTGAAGTCACAGAAGCCATCAACAATCACTTTGTGAACTCGTTGCCAACCATTCAACCTGATGAGTTATTTCTTAACACTTTATCTGGGCAGAAAAAGTCACTCACCACAAGCATGCTGAAAAATGAATTTTCTTTTTGCAAAATTGAAATAACGGAAATCATAAATCAATCCCTGAACACGGGAGAAGTACCAACATTATGGAAGAAATCAGTTGTAACGCCACTAGCAAAAGTCAATAACGCTATACAGATGAAGGATTTGAGACCAGTAAGCACCTGTGATGTCCAAGCTGGCAGAGAAAGTGGTAGCTGACCAACTTCGTGACCATCTAGAAGTAAATCAAGTCCTTCCCGATGCACAATCGGGATTCAGAAAACTACACAACACATCTACAGCGCTTATAAAAGTAACTAGCGATATAGTCAAGTTCATGGATGACGGTATGGTGACCGTATTGGTGATGTTAGATTACAGTAAGGCATTTGACATCGTCAACCATAATGACGGTAATCTACCAGTCTGTACCTTTTGTATGCACAAAAATCAATTCAGGGCAAGCGGAGTAAGGGATCAAGATGTGCGTTCATAATCATAAGCAACCCAAATCTACGCCTCTCATGTGCCCGACTGCCTCAGTATGTATGTATGATTCATATCGGCCATAAAACTATGAATACTCCATAAAATTAACTTTAAGCTTTATTTTTGGTTTCAACTCGTTTTAAGCAAGTATAGAAGTATACTAAGTGACATATAAATCCGAACACCCAGTTTAAATGGTTTTATTTTAATAAAATTTTGTATAAGTACTTAATGAAGCATAATAAGTAAATGATAAAAATTTCAAAATGATTGCACTGCTTTAAAGCCCTTTGACCTTTAATAATGTGTGGATGCACCCTGATGTGCTACGCATTCTCCAACGCGCCTAGGCATGCTTCTGATCAGGTGGTCAATGTCCTCCTGTGGTATCTCATTCCAGGCAACCACCAACTCCTCTCGAAGTGCTTCTAGAGTCTGAGGAGGACGTTGCAAATTGAGCAATCTTCTACCCATCATATCCCACACTTGCTCAATTGGGGATAAGTCGGGAGATCTTGGTGGCCATGGTAACAATGTGACATCATTATGTTGAAAGAAGTCTATTCTGACTCTTGCAACATGTGGTCGGGCATTATCTTGTTGGAAAGTTGGATCTGCCAGGGTGTCAAGATAGGGTAAGAGATGGGGTTCTAGAACTTCGTGGATATAACGCCGCGCGTTCATGTTACCTCTGATGAAGATTAAAGGTGACCTGGAACCATAAGCTATAGCACCCCAAACCATAACTCCAACAGTGTGATGAACATGTCCTTCAACAAAAAACTGTGGATTCCTCCTTTCACCACGTCGCCTTCTAACCCTGGCACGACCATCGTGCATGCCTAAACAAAATCGAGACTCGTCACTAAAGACAATACTGTTCCATTCCTGATCCCAGAGTGACCGTTGTCTGCACCACTCAAGGCGATTACGTCGGTGTTCTCGAGTGGCCGGTATGAAAACAAGCCAAAACTTCTCATTCGTCGGTAAACACTTCGCATGCCAATAGGTCCCTTAAGGCCAATAATCTTAGGCGGCGATCTTCACGGTCTGTTGTTCTACGGCGGCGTCCAGTGCCCCTTGCTCTTTGCGTACGGCCTTCTCGAAGCCATGCCTGACAACACTTAACCACAGTGTCTACACTTCTTTGCACTCTAACTGCAATTGCCCGAAAAGAAAGTCCAGCTTCCCAAAGTCCCACTATACGGCCCCTATCAAACTCACTAAGTTGACGAAATCGTACAGGCCTCCGTACTCTAGGCATCGTAACCGATCGTAAAGGATGTCAAGAACCAAAATCCGCCAACGTTGATTCTTTACTGCGGCTGAAATATTCATTTTTAGAGCGTTAGTGAATTAAAAAAATCAGTATAAAAACCGGAATGTCCAGCTGATAAGGCTGAAAATTTTTTCACTTGTTATTTACAGTAAGATAAATACATTCACCAACTTTTATTAAAATAAAACCATTTAAACTGGGTGTTCGGATTTATATGTCACTTAGTATATTTACATTATTTTTGAATAATCGTGAGAATGATGTTATCGGTAAATATTCTCTTTTCTGTAAAAATACCGAAAAATCAGGTTCAAGTCCATGCATAGACAATCTGAAATTTGCAATATGAATTTGTATTCTAAATTCTATGCATATCCGTTCATTTCCTTCAATATTTCATTTGAAGCTTTTATTTGTCATAAGATTTTAGCGAAATATAAGATAGTAAAGGCAACACAGCACCCTGCAGCTCAGTTGACAAGAACAAAAAGCTGTCAAATTAGGGATTTTTAGATCCACGAAAGGTATCCTTATGTATCGATTCTTATCGTTTTAGGAAGTATCGATACTCTAAAATATTGGAATAAAGTTATCGATGTCCAGCGGAAGGAAACAAAGAATAAAAGTAATCTGAAGTTAGTCACTCTTTCTGATACAGTCCGGATCGAAAGATGACGATACTCGTGAAATGTATCGATACACAGAAGTGTCGTATATAAAAATATCGATCCAAAATATCGGGTATGGGAAGCAAAAGTATCGATACTTCTAAATATAGGATCGTATCGAACATCCCTACTGTCAAGATGTATCACCCGAGGTACCGACGCAGCTATTTCGGGGCGTTATGGAAATAATTTTAAATTTACATTTACAGTTCCTGAACAACGAAAAATATGCAACTTTATGGATGTATGGATATTAAAAAACCTGAATGGTTTTGTGGGAATATCAATCTAAAGTGCCATAATGGTTCTGATGAACGGCAAGTAAGTGAATGAATGTTTGGAAACGAGCAAAACCTATTAAATTTGCTGAGAGTCTGTCATCAAGTAGGTGTTTAATGGCTATCTGCAAGAGGTTTATAGGAAAAAAAATTCGCGAGGTGATGTTAAATCAGTAAAAATCGCATATCAATTGAAGAAAATAATATAAACATGGATAAAAAATCAACAATAGTAATTAAAAAATGAATTTTATTCAAAAATCAAACATTCCTTTAAATTTTGACTGAATTATATGTAATTTCTTAATATTCAATAAGCTGATGATGTTTCAAGGACAAGCTATCATCTCATACTTTGACAATATTTTGTTTTCAACATTTCATAGGTATTGGTTGCTGAAATTTGTTGATTGGATGTTGAAGCTCATTCGCTGTATTTGACGGACTGTTACCCTATAAGGTGGAGTATAACGGACTGTTAATTTGACAACCCTGGTGAAATCCACCCTAAATCCATTGCTTTGTGGGTATCAAGTGTCTGTTGTTTTAAATCGGGAATTTAGCTCTCTCCACGGTTTCACTCAATCGTTCACATCAAATATCAAGAAATAAATGTCAGGTAAGTTGTTTGCGTACATTTTTATTGTAAGGATAGTAGGTACTAGAACTGTCTAAATAATATTATTAATTATAATTTTCTATGTTAATTTTTGGTGCAGTTAGTCAATATAAGTTAAATACAGTGAAATCAAGTACAGAGATAATTTTAGCACAAAATTAGTTTTTCGCATAATTTCATGCGGGCGATCCATCGGTAGTTGATATCAAATCTTTGAAATATGAAAATGGATCAATTCAATACAAATTACAACATACGGAAAAACTTTGGAGTGACCTACCCGGAAGGGCTATGAAATATGTTCCCAATGGCATAATAATAAATAAATAATTATGAGAGTAGATTGAAAATAAAGAAGAAAAAATACCAACATCTCGTGGTACTCATTAAAAGCATATATCAGTAGTATCATAACTTATAATCTCAACCTGCCACATGAATAAATGTCCAGCTAGTCTTTGAGTTCTTATAATAAATAATTATTTAATTTTTATTTCGATATGGATCTCATTCTTATTTGTGCTAGTCACGTGACGATATGTTTTCTTTTACACCAAAGAAATATTTCATTTTTTAATTTTCTGGAAATAAATGGATTTTTTAAGTTTCTTATGTGTATTTCTGAAATAATAGAAATTTGCCTATTTCCCTAGTTGTATCCAATATTAGGCAGGCAAAAATAAGTATTATAAGAAACATGGATTGCTAACCTAATTATGATAACATTCTAAAATGGTTTCTAGTATAAAATCAGTAAACTTATGGAAAATTATTACTACAAATAGTTTTTCGTCTCTCCTGAAAACTTTACTGAATTGGACTTAAGTAGTTTTCTTATTAGGGCCGACGATATTATGAATAAACTAGAAAAATAAAATTCTCTACAGCTCTTGTTTCCAACATATTTTCATGCAAGAATAACCGTTAGTCCCGATAAATAACAAGAAATATATAGTTTTTCAAAATTAGAAATTTTTATTATTACATTAGTATTTAATATTGTTCATTGATTTATTATATTCTAATAAATACTAGTTACATTGCTGGTCAGAAAAAAGTTCAGGAAAATAATTTATATTATATTTTTAGTTAGCAATAGATACTGTTTCGTACATTTATTACAATTGAAATTCAAATATATGGAGGTTTTACAAACACTTTAATAATAGAAACATGAGTCTTAATTTTCTCCTTCGTCTTCAGTCATCGTCTTCCGGTTGCTCGAAAATTTCTAATTAATTATCATCATTTATGTCATCAAGAATATTTGTCTCAAGATATTCAAGTATTTCGGGGTCAAAATTGTTATAGGCACAGAAGCGGCCTGAAGTCCCCTGATATGTTGCAAAGCTGTACAGTAGATATATTATATTTTTATATATAAGCATATAATTTATATAAACATATATTTGATGAATGAAAAGTATCAAAAACATAATGAAGTAATTAATAAAAAATGCTAAGTATGCATGAATATATATTTCGTATGATTCATTGACATAACACGACGTATTATTTATCGGGATTAACGGTTGACCCTGCATTATGCTGTAAATGGCTAAGCGCTGCGAGCTCTCCGCCCTCTATCTCAAAAACGATTAATAGTATGAAAAAAATGTGCAGAATTGTATTCTCTACAAATTCATAATAAATGCAGTTAGCATTAAACCCAGAATCCATAGGAAGCAGAATGTCTGCAAAACAAAAACGATTGTTGTGTCATTTGATCTTTGATATCATAAGACGCAGGGGCGGTGATTTTCTGAGACTAAAGGTTTCTACCAGTTTGCAGCTTATTATCTCCAATCCGAGGTGAAATCCCTGAGATTATCGGATTATACGGTTCAGGGTACTTTTTGACGTTACTTCCGACGCATATGGATATTTTAACGACAGGTTTATACAACACCTTTAGACGTAGTGATAGCAATATACAATATAAGAGTTGAAATGCGTATGTCTGATACGTTTATATAACTTTTCATAATCATAGTCATAAGCCTAACCCCTTGTTATAAGCGTAATAAGCATAATTCAATTCATACGATTATGAGTATGTTTATGCAAGTTTTGTATAAACCAGCCAGACCATGCTGATGAGTAGCCAAAAAGCACGAAACAACTGTCCATGGATGGCGATCTTTTGGTCTAATGGTCGAAAGCAGCACGTTTAGTTCACTTAACAAATAACCCGCTATTAATGAAGACAAATGAATCCGTCGTATCCCATGAACTTGATCCGAAACCAAGTAGGTAGATATGTACGTATATGTGTGGCGTATGACTGTATATGACGTAGTAGGTAACTTAATTTAGCCGTTTAACAGTCTCTTCCTTATTATCTGCGCTCCTACCGTTGCTCTGATGTTCTCCTTTAATAAATCTGAATTATGCGGCTGGAATGATGCTCAGGCCAAGCAGAACTACCTATTCGAATTAGAAGAATAAGAACACATTTCATTAGTTTATTTAATTGTTAAATTGTTATTTACGAGGTGCTCTCAATTGAGATATACTTTATGAATTGAATGAATGCCCTACTGGCGAATATTACTGTGTTTGAAGGACGTTAGGGACTTGAGTCAACTAAGAGTTGACTGGACTTTTCACTTTCAACCATCTAAACGTGATAATTGCGTAGACATGGAGAGAATATCCATGCCTTGCGGTACGCGGTATAAGTTCTCGAACTAAACAACCTCTCTGGGTAGCACACCCCCTATAGCCCCACAGTACCTCATGGGTGTTTAGGCCTTAGATCTTCGGGGTGGTTGGAGTATAAAAAAAACACAAAACGGCCATCCACTCTGTATTTGACCCTGTGTTTTTTTAGGATATGGGTCTGCTGATTTTGTAAACACTTATGCTGCTAGTTAATTAAAACGTTTGAACTTACCGTATCTAGTGTAACTATTCTGAATTTTTCTCACCACACAAAGTGCCTTTAGCTTAGAATATTTGGACTGGCATGACTGCACTTACAAAGGTGGAGAACTGAGTTATGAAGGAAGACTCGGGGCCGTATCTTCAGTCGTTCCTACAATTGTAGGACGCCTTTATGGCCTCCATGATTAAAACACTTTTTTCTCTCCTTCAGAAAGGCAGGGATTTCACCTGCTCCGTGTCAGCGACAGCACTCTCCCACTGTGAAGTTATGTTTTCTTTTTGAACTGTATTATTATTATTATTTGAGAATCCTCTAATAGAATAGAATAGAATAGAAATTTATTGGTTTTTCAGGTATAAACAAAAAACAAAGAAATTTATAACAGAGATTACACGTCATTGTGATACAGTGTGAATAACACACAATTTTTCTAAAGTACATACGAAAACAAAGATTCATAGACAACATACAACAACAGCGATATTAATGCTTACGGTTTCACTAGAGCACAGAACTCTTCAATACTATATGGTTCCATATCGCATATATATTTATGAATGCTTTTTTTGAATATAGTGAATGCTGAAATGGATTGAAGATGTTGAGGTAAAGCATTGTAGAGTTTCAGTGCAGAGTAATGTGGACATTTTTCGGTAGAATTTAGCTTATGTGATGGGTAGAAGTATTTCTGACTTTTGCGAGTATTGTAACTATGGTTGAAGACGTTTTTTTCAAACTTTCCTTTATGGCTAAAGATAAATAGTAGAGTATTATAGATATAAATTCCCGGTAATGTTAATAAGCGGTTGACTTTAAATATACTTCTACATGACTCTGTAGGTTTCATTTTGAACATTGTTCTTATTATCCTCTGTTGTATGATACAAATTCTATTGGCTGCGGGACTATTACCCCAAATTGTTATTTGATAAGTCATAATAGAATACGCAATCTCATAGTAGGCAGACTGCACAGCTTGCAAGGGCAGGTGACAAGTGAGTACTCGTAGTGCATAGCATGCTTGATTGAGTTTTGAAGCCATACTCTCAATGTGCTTATCAAACTTAAGACAGCTATCGTAGGTGACTCCCAGGAGGTTTGTATCGCTTTTGATACATAGAGGTTCATTAGTTAAGGGTAGTACTTTGGTAGCATGGCTTGACTGAAATAGGACACAACACGTTTTGTGTATGTTGAATGCTAACTTATTCATCTGCAGCCAGTTTTGAATATGGTTTATTTGGGTCTCTATCAAGATTCGGATATCAGACGTTCCTTTATATCGTATCAGAATAGTTATATCATCTGCATAGATGAAACTTAGATTTTGCGTGCTGGTGGATATATCATTAATATAAATAATAAACAATGTTGGGCCCAGTGTACTGCCTTGAGAAACACCAGTACTACATGTCCGAGGACTAGTTGTGATTCGTTTCCCGGTTTTGTTAAAAATTACTTTCTGCCTTCTATTACAGAGATAAGATTTAAGCCAGTCCGCATTCCCATATTTATATAATTTGTTTAGCAATATTTCGTGATCAATGCAATCAAATGCTTTTGTTAGGTCCACAAATAAACCACATGCTGCTCCTTGATTCTCTCGATATTCATGGATTGCTGTGGTGAAATCGAACAGTGCCGTGTTCACACCTCTACCTTTCATGAAGCCATGTTGGTTATTGGTGAAGTATTTATTTGAGTGGAAAAAATTAATAAGACGGTTGTTATAAGCAATTTCAAAGATTTTTGAAAAATGTATCAGTAAGCTAATAGCACGGTAGTTGTCCATATCATCAGGATCGCCGTTTTTATAGATTGGTAATACGAGTGCAATTTTTAATGCTTCTGGGAATTTTCCTTCACTAAGAGATGTATTTAGGATATTAAGAAGAGGGCAGATATTATGGTTATCATTTTTTAATGATGAAAATTGGGACGTTGTCATCACACAACTTTTTATGTTTTTTAGGTTGCATACAATTCTGAGCAATTCGTCATGATCTATTGGCGTTAAAAATATTGTTTTATTTTTTAGTTCTAGGTTGCAGTCATAATTCAAATTTGGTAGTTTTGAGAGGAGTTTTGGATCAGCTTCGACAAAGCTTTTATTGAAATGGTTTGCAAAAGCATTTACATCATTATGTACCGGAAAACAAACTGATCTGACGATGTTGTGGGTGTGGTAGTTAATTCTCGTACTGTATTCCAAATTCTTTTACTTCTATTGCCATGCTTATTTACTTTATCCAAATAGTATTGCGATTTTGAATCTTTAAGAGTTTCTCATATGTCTGATTATAACTTTCAAAAACATCTTTATATTTTATATCCTTTTGGGAAATCATTTGAAGAGCACTCACCTATTCCTGAGTCGATCTAATTCTGGGGTAATCCAAGGAGGTTTCTTACTTCCCGCAGCTCGCTTTTTTATCCTCAGAGGAAAATAGTAATTGAAATTGCTTTGTATTATTTGAGAAAATATGTCCCACTTTTTGTTTTCGTTGACACTACTATTAATTTCGTTCCATGATGCTGATTTTAGATCTTGTAGAAAACTATTTATATGTGAGTTAGAAAACACTCTGATCAATTTGGATTCATGATCGATATTGGTATTGAGTGAAAAGAGGGTATGTTGCCCTTTATGGTCAGAAAAAAGTGTATCAATAATCTTAGACTGAAAGTTCACATCTGTGTTAATGAAAATTTTGTCCAAACATGATTTGGAGTCATTCTTTACTCTAGTGAAATCGGTAATAGTTACTTTCAAACCGTAGGAATAAATTATGTCAATAAAATCTGATGATTTCCTGTTTGTCACCAACAGATTTATATTAAAATCGCCGGCTATGACACATTTCTTTTTTCATTACTAATCATATCTAGAATTAATTGAAGTTTCTCAAAAAACGCGTCGATTTCACCGTCATATGGATGGTATATAGTGATGACGACTAAGACGAGCTGTTTCAAGGTTATTTCAAGGACTGCACATTCACTGACTAGAATGACGTTTAGCCAAGAAAAGAAGATTTTAGACACACAGCATCAATCGATCGAGAGAAAGATTTGAAGAGTTTTTCATTTGTATAAAAGTTTACAAGAAGACTCGGAAAGGTTTTTACAGATATTTTCGAATGAATGAAAGTACTTTTTCTGATATTTTAAGAAAAGTAGAAAGGCGCATCCAGAAACAAAATACAAATTTTCGAAAAGCCATTAGTTCTATTGAAGTTCGTATTATATTAAATACCTACCTACTCAAAGAGAAAAATATTGCATGTTTTATATTAACTCTACTTTTATGTTTATTTTTATTCTCTGGTGCGCTAATCCATCTTTAGCATTATTTTATTGGTAATAAATTATAGTAGTTCTTGCGATTATGCAGCATCGACTACTGGGTCATTAGCTGCGTGTCGTTATGTGATTCAATTTTGGTTGAGTATAATTAGAGTTTCCAGTAAAAGCCCGTGCATTTCAGAAACGATATCGTGTTTTTTATTAGATCAGGCTTTTTCAGATTTTCTGCGAAATCTCTTGACAGACCAAAACTGTTTCTAAGGTTGCTTAACGCTGGACATTCTATCATAATATGCATTGCAGTTAATCGTGCCTCGCATGACGGACAATTTGGATGGCCTTGGCCAGAGAGTAAGTAGGAATGTGTCAATGCTGTGTGGCCCAAACGCAGTCTATGTATCCGGACGGCTTCTTCTCTACTCATCTTGACGTTAGGTGTCCATTTTGTTACATCAGGTTTTATTGTTCTTAGCTGAGTAAGTTCATTGTTCCACTGTCTTTGCCATGCTTCTGTTATGCATTGTCTAATTTTCATTTTCAAGTCTGGTGCTTTCACTAGTGTACAGTCAATTCCAGTTGCGGCAGCAGCCTGCCTTGCAGATTGATCTGCCAGTTCATTTCCTAGTATACCTACGTGTCCTGGTACCCATATAAAGACTACCCTCTTGTCGCCATCCATCAACACGTTTAATGTCTGAAGGCATGCTAAGATTAACGGATCACGGGAATAACGATTTGACATAGAGTGTAGGGTGCTCAAAGAATCGCTGACTATAAGAGTAAGGTTGCTTTTTGACTCTATCTGGCAGTATTTAAGCGCCTGTAAAATTGCATACTGTTCGGCTGTGAAAATCGATGTCATTGGTGGGAGAGTCCATAAATGGGCCACCCCGTTTATGATAATCGAGCAACCAACTCCTGAGGCAGCTTTCGAACCGTCTGTGTAGATGGTTTCGGCACATGTGTACTGTTCCAGGATACCTTGAAAATGAGACCTCAGTTGTACTGTTGGTGTTTCCTTTTTGTGAAATTTAGTTAGCTCCGTGTTAACTTGTGCAGATGGGATCTGCCAAGGTGGGGCTTCACTTTTGAGTGGATATACTGGCATTTTAGTCAAATTTAGCTCTCGAGATATTTCACAAATTCTCACACTGAGGGGTCTTGTGATAGTAGATCTTCTATTATAGGTTTCATCATACGTACTTAACAGAGAGAAATTCCGATGATGTGGCGTAGCAGATGTACTGACTTCGTATGATAGTATGAGTCTTTTTCTCCTTAGAGTTAATGGCTCGACGGTTGCTTCAGCGCAAAGGCTAGCTGCTCTCGTTGTACGGAATGCTCCAAGGCAGTACCGCAGTCCTAAGTTTTGGATAATATTTAACTTATTGAGTGCAGTACGTCGAGCGGATGAGTACACAATGCATCCGTAGTCGATTTTTGATAGAACCAAGGACTTGTATATTTTTATCAGAGCCTCTGTATCAGCTCCCCACCGGGTAGAACTCAGACACTTAATAACATTCAACGTTGACTTACACCTATAGATTAATTCTGCAATATGACATTTCCACGTTAACTTTGAGTCAAATATCAATCCCAAAAATTTCATAGATGTTTCGTTGGGGATTAATTGGCCTTGTAGATAAAGTAGTGGCCCATCATGCTGACGTTGGAGTCTGCAGAAATGTACGCACTTTGTTTTGGTATTTGACAATGTGAAACCACTGTTTATGGCATTTTGGCTTATTTTGTTTATTGTTGTCTGCAAGTTACCAGAAATCTCTTCAATGGAAGGGCCTGATGATAGTATACACAAATCATCAACGTATAGACATCTGTCCACCACCGGATTTATGGACTCGGCAAGTTTATTAATAGCAATCGCAAAAAGCGTACAGCTAAGTGTCGATCCCTGTGGTATTCCATTTTCCAAGGTGTGGACTGTTGAAAGAGTGTTTCCTACACGTACTTGAAAACGCCTGTCTGTAAGGAAGGATTTCAAAAATTTTGTGAGATTTCCTCTAAAGCCCCAGTTGTGCAGTTGGTATAGAACATCATATCTCCAGACCATATCAAAAGCTTTTTCTATGTCAAAACACACAGCTACTGTGTGGTGACGGTTTTTAAACCCATTTTGGATGACATTCTCTACATAGACAAGTTGATCCACTGTAGACGTATTTTTTCTAAATCCTGCCTGGTAATCAACAAGTAACCCATTTTTTTCAAGAAACCACGACAGGCGCTCATTTACCATTCTCTCTAATATTTTTCCGAGACAGCAAGTAAGACTTATCGGCCTATAACTTTCAGGCAAGAGTGGATCCTTTCCGTGTTTAAGAATGGGAATGACGATTGCAAGTTTCCAGTCTTTTGGGTATATTCCTGCAAGCCATATCCTGTTGTATATGTTGAGGAGAGTAAGCTTGAGATGGAGAGGGAGATGACGGATCATCTCATAATTTACCATATCCGGACCAGGAGCTGATCGATTTGTCTTTTTTATGGCTTCTTCTAGCTCAAACAGTTGGAATGGCTCATTATACGCTAAAGATACGTCTGTTGAAAAGTCTAATGGTAATTCCCTTGAATTTTTGGTGGACCTGAACTCGCGACTATAGTTTTCCGAGCTGCTGACGGTAGCAAATTTATCTGCTAGTAAATTACAGACCTCATTTGTGCTGTTAATGATGTTGCTGTTACAGGTCCGCAGATGTGTGATTTGCCTAACTGATTGTCTACCATACACGGCTCTGACTTTATTCCATACTTCACTTGCTGTCGTTTCACTAGTAATAGTGGAGACATATTCGCTCCATGATTTTCTCTGGCTTTCTAGAATAAGACGTCGCGCTTTAGCTCTAGCTTTCTTAAAAGATATCATGTTTGATACCGTGCAGTTCCTCTTAAAAATATTGAGTGCACGCTTTTTTGATCTCACGGCATCGGATATGTCAGAGTTCCACCATGGTAACCGACGGCCTCTTGGAGATCCACCACCAAGCGGAATGCTGTTCACCGCAGCCTGATGTATCAGCTGAGTAAAACTATGAATACCAATGTTATTATCTTGTACAGGACTCACAATTGATAAGTAGTCTTCGAATTGCTGCCAGTTTGCCTTTGACATCAACCAGTATTGTGGTACTTGGGGACTACTTCTAGATATGTCAAAGGACGTGATACAAGGAAAATGATCACTATGATACATGTCATCTAGAGCTCTCCATTGGAGGCGATCGGCTATGGATGTTGAACTGATCGCTAGATCAATCGCAGAGAAAGATCCGGAACGAGCAGCCAGATGGGTGGACATTCCTGTATTTAGCAACATCAGATCTTCTCTGTCTAGTAAGTTTCCTATCAATTCTCCTCGGTGATCTAAACGTCCTGATCCCCACAGGGGATTATGCGCATTGAAATCTCCAATGAGCAAGAATGGTGCTGGGAGCTGAGATATAACGTTTTCGATGTCACCAATTCGCCAATTTCCATCAGGTAGGTATATATTACAGACAGTTACCTTTACAGGAACTGTTATTCGAGCTGCAACAACTTGTAGTGCTGAGTTTACACATAAAGGCTCAAAACAGACATCCTCACGTAAAATTATCGCAACTCCTCCATGTGCTCGCTCGACAGCTGCAACATCTTTTCTCAAGATGTTATATTTTCTAAGAGAGTAAGTTTGATTTGGTCTGAGATGGCTCTCTTGAATACATAAGCACATTGGATCATGATTTTGTAAAAGCAGCCTAAGCTCACAGTACCGTTGGACAATTCCATTGCAGTTCCACTGTATGATTGATTCCATTGCAATTTTAAGAGTTGAAATGTATGTAAATAAAATACTTTCACAACAAATAAATAAAATAAATAGTATGTAGGGATGGACGGTACATAATAAATAAAATAAATAGTTTTTTTTAAATAGAGTTGATATAAGTGATATAGCATCACTCACGGGGCAGTCTTTTTAGGCCTGCCCCGTTTTTTTGTTGGATTTGAGTTGGGGTCCATAGCAGATGAATCATCATCTGTAGTGGAGTCCCCTGGTTTTTTTCTTTTTCGGACGCTGCCGATAAATTTGTAGAGACAGAATCAGATCTATCTCTACGGAAGATTAGCCCTGATGATGGGGCTTTAAAATGGTCGCACTTAGATGTAGAACATGAGATTACGTTTCTAACTGCAGTTTCGAAATGAGGAATTATTGTTGATATGATCTGCTGAATGTTCATTTCTGATGACTTTTGGACGGCAGCAGAATAGGACGTAGTAGGTTTTGGAGTGGTTATATTTACTTTTCTTTTTGCTTCTGCATATGTTATGTTTTCCATTACCTTTACTTTCTGTATTGCTGCTTCAGCTTTTAGTTTTGGGCAATTCATATAAGCTGCTGAATGTGGATCTTCGCAATTTACGCATTTTTTGGGCTCCGGGCAAGGACCTTCATGTGGAGGATTACCACATGGACATATTTTTTCCTTCTGACAGTTTCCAGCTGTGTGACCTAAAGCTTAACAGTTGAAGCACCTGGTAGGTGGTGGAATATAAGGCCTTACATTTAATTTATCGAACGCAACGCTGATTTCCTTTGGTAAGACAGTTTTCCTAAATGTCAGCACGTGATTTGGAGTTTCAACCAGTTCTCCATTTCTTTTACTCTTTAGCCTTCTTACATGTATGACACCATCACCTTTCAGTTCATCCAATATCTCCTCAATCGAGCAGTTGAGCAAGTCTCTGCAAAAAATCACGCCTTTTCGGGTATTGAGGGACTGGTGTGCCTCAATACTCACATCAAATTCTCCAAACTTTTTTACCTGGAATAGTCGCATAGTCTGCTGTGTAGATTTAGTTTCAACAAGGAGACCTTCTCGAACCTTTCTCACTAACTTTACTTCACCAACAATTCCATATAATGTCTTTGATATAACAAAAGGGCTCACTTTATCAAAATTATCGCTTTCTCTTTTAACAAGCAGAAACCGGGGGCAATCGCCCACCGTCCTCACGCCTGCTGAAGGACTGGAAAGTGCTCCCCCAGCACTACCCGTTTTTTGGAGGGCGGGCGCCTCCTGGATGTTTTGGTTTTGAGTAGGCTTCATCTTATTCCCACGAGTAGGCTCTGATATGGAGGTCGACTATGAAAGAGCAGGCTTATCATAGCAAGGCTAGTTTCAACCGGAGGTCGCCCGGTATCCGGAGGCAGCCGTTTGGAACACACTAACGCAGTGCCATTCATCCCCTCAGCACGGCAAACACCTTGGGATTGCGGATTTTTTTTTTGAGGTTTACTCCTCTAGATCCGCCGTGTTCTGTTAAGAGCAGGGACAGCTCTAGCAGCATGTGGTTCTTCACCACGCACGGACGGTCTTGCAGGTGCAGAAGCTGATGGACTATAAGTCTGTATTACGCTATACACCTGCCTGGGCAGCTTTTGCCTCGCGGAGGCTACTCACAGGCCCTTGTCCCCGGTAATAAATGCGAGAAGTAGTCTAGAATACGGAATTTAGAATAAAATAACATATCAAAGAAAAAGATCAACTATTTAAAATAAACAATACAATATATTTGTCTAAGTATATTTATAATATTTTCCACTTAGTGCTGGTATTTTCATCTACCAGTAAATTTATCCTTCAATTAATGACTATAGCAAATTGTTGTCATAGTTGTAAGTATGGAAAGTATATGAAGAATAAAAATTATCCAGAAATAAAAATACTGGCACTTAATGACATATTTCATTACTGTTTTTTCATATACTTACAGTATTAACATATTCTAGCACGAAATTAACTATGAAAAAATTTAGTTCTCAGTGTACCTGTGTAAAAAAAACTTTATTTCTTCTCTTACTGACTAATTACATTCTACAGTAATACAGCTGATTTACTGTTACTAGCTGACGTATTTGAATAAACGGAAGATAGAGGTGGTGGATTTATGTACTGAGTGATTTGACTAAGAACGAATGTGTTAACTGCAGAATTTTGAACATTTAAACCATTTGTTGTATTTTCTTGATATTGGGTTGCACTGATAATTCCACTATAAAGTAATTTCCGTATTTTAACCCGAATAAACGTTTGTCGATCAATCGGGACATCATTTAAATGTTTATGGAAACTCATTAAAAAGTATTATAAATCATCTTCTGGTTTTGTCTTTGGGATATTCTGTGATTGAGCTGGTTGTGTTTCGATGATTCGAATCAACTGTTTTTCTAGATTTAGCAATTCATAGTCAATACCAGCACCCCTCTTTCTTTTTGTATATCTACTGTTATTTGATACGGTCGGAGTTTCTTGATCCATAGCTGAAGTTTGGCCTTCTATTTCTGAATTCCCTCTAATTTCAGTGACATCATCTATCTCTTGCGTAGTTGTCGAATGTGCCTTCGGAATCCTTGCTGCAAACAGAAACATCTCCAAAAAATGCCGAAAAAATTGTTAACTGCATTTGTGTGTTGCATAATATAATTATTGATTTATTGATAAAGAAGGTGTTGCCATAATAGAAGACACAAAAGAAAACACAGATTTAAAGAAAAATAGGAAAAATAATAGTTTGACAGAACCACCTAGGTATATAGGGTATTGTTTTATGTAATATTTCAATAGTGAAGGAGCTGTACCGTTTCAATATAATGTTTTATAAATAAATTATATCATTATGTGAACATGTGTTTACTACTCACTTGTTATTCCAAAATAAACTGCTATTTCCTGCCACATTTTCCATATGACATCACGATTATGATGTAAAGAACTTGTTTGATCCCATATAGGGGTTCGCAAAAATATCTCATTTATTAATTTTTCGATATCCACCATATTTAATGCGCAATCTTTCACGCTCAAAGACAAACTGATTTGTTTTGGAGATGATCGTTCGCCGCGGACTCGTTACGACTCGCTACGGCTCGTTACCAGTATGCACCATCGCATTGAATTATACTAGTTTGTATTTTCCGCCTTGCTCGCAACGCTACGCCTCGCTTGATTCCGCCTTGTATGTGCATGTACACTAAGAGTATGGCGCACTGTTTCCCCCTCATTTGTTTTAGAATTGGACGATTTTGAGAATCGCTGAGCTACTGAAAATTTTACCATATATTAAACTCGGTGCTTCAAATTCGACCCTCACCATTGAGTTCGGAAACGGTAAGAGATCCGAAGACCGCGTATTCAGGTAATTAACGGAATGCCGCTTAGAACGTTTAGAAAGACGGGGAGAGACGCAAAAACCGAATTTTTTCAAAATCGTTTTAATTTTTTCCTGACTTTATTTGTCGTTCAAAATAAATTGCTCATTAACTGTGCCACTGTTTCTCCTCTTCCAAATGGCATAATTAGAATTTCAATATGACGTTTCGCATCTTGTCCTCCAGCATTCAACTTCATTTTTCCAATAGACGCCATAATGGATTTTTACATAGATAAATAGAGATTTTGATTCTGATTCCAAAAATATATGATATCGTACATGAACATTGCCCACCTTAGTTATTTCAAAAAATAGAATTGCCTAGGTGGACTTTGAAATTATCATATAGTCATTTGTTTCATGTACCTGGTTTATGGTTAAATCATTTTTTTCCTGTCTTTATGGGATATGAAATTTCAAAATAAATTGCATGTTGTCAATGCCACTTTTTCTGTTCTACAAGATAGTGTAGTCAAATTTTCAACTCGTGGTTTTTTCTTTGGACTTCCATCACCAACTCTGTTTTTTCATATGGACGCTATATTAGAATTTTGTTCATTTAAATACTACCAAGAATATATTAGTTTAATTAGATATGTGACATAAACAAATGTATTTATTATATTTATAATAACTGAATTGAGATTTAAAAATTGTGTTCAGTTGTGCAAAATTTCACTATGCCTTCCATAAGAGAAAACAAAGCTGATGATGGAGATCGAAAGCAAAAGCGTTGAAGTGAGAATCTAACTACGCTTTCTTGTAGATTAAAAAGGATTGCAATGCATATACATGTATGTAGCATAATGCAATATACTTTAAGATCCCATTTTAAATAAAACAAGGAAATAACAACGATTTTGCGATAAATTCGGTATACGAAACAAATGACTATCTGATAATTTCAAGACCTACCTTGAAGTAAATAAGGTATGGCAACGTCATATAGTTTTAAAATTAGAATAGAAAACTTAATTTATCTGTGTAAAAATCCAATATGGCGTCCATTGATGATGATGATGATGCTGAAGGGCAAGATACAAAACGTCATATTATATTTGTAATTATTCCATCTTGTAGAGGAGAAATATTTACATACAATACCAAACATAATGAATGAGGAAATCTCACTATAAATAAAGTCAGAAAAAGATTAACACAAGTTAGAGAAAATTCGTTTTTCTCCGGAAGTACAACTTTTAATTTCGAAACGTTCTAAACGGCATTTTGTTGATTGCCTAAATTCGCAAATTTGCCCTCATTTCCATATCTCTTACCGGTTTGAAATCCCATTGGTGAGGGTCAAATTTGAAACACCCGGTATATAAGCTGGAAAGTTGAAAATGAGCAAAGAGAAAGAGATTGTCTCTTGAATAGCAGAAACGATTAACAAGAAGCACTTTTATCAGAAAGAATAGTGGAAGAATAAGTTAGAACAACCAGGGTATTAAGATGCTACGTTTTCTCTGTACGGCGTACAGGCATGGGCAGTTACAGATACAACAGAAAAATTCACTAGTTGCAAGATAATAGTAGCTATGTTACCCAACAATTATCCATTAACAGGGAAATTAATAGAAATCATAAATAATACATGCCTTAAAGCAAAACGAAAACTAAAGATATATGATAGCATGATCCACGGGCTCCCTCAATGTGCACATGAAAATATCACAATAAGGAGATTGCTTGTTATAATTATTACGCACCATATAGATGTTCGACGACTAAAATTTCTGTCGTGATCAGCTACATATAGATGTAATATTGGTCCCACCGAAGTACATTAAAATCTATTTGACCCAGAACGATGCAGCAGTAGATGCCATTATGTCAAGTGTGGTAAAAATATACATGAGATGCCTCTTCTCCTCCTCTCAGTTACAAATCATCCTGGTCAAACCTACTATATAAAATTAAGTAGTCTATGCATCAATCTGAGTAAATCCCATCAACTTTGAAAGTCAATTACGTCCAAAGTCTTGCGTTCAACTCTTCCTAATACAACAATGTAGCAATCATATAAAGGATCCCATACTACAGATACATATTCTAGTTTGGCACGAATACTAACCGAATCACATCAAGATTTGAATAACATACGGTTTCGCACAATAAAATTTTACAGATTGAGAGCTTCATATGGTTTTGGCTCAAGATGTTCCGCAAATGTCAACCTAGGATCAAATATAACTGTATAAGTGGTGACTCTCTGACCTTCAGAATTATTTATTCTACTGAATGAAATATACATTTTTGCACCTTGAGATGCAAGGTGTTCTCATCACACCAGTTCTCGATAAAACCAGATTTCTTTGAAGTAGTTGGCAATTATTTATCTCATCAATTCTTGGAAAAATTTTAACACCATCTGCAAAATATAATACATCACAATCAATCGCTGCCAAATAGAATAAATATGAGATGGCCTGACTTGGATCTCTGCAGAGCACCTGACGTAACTGAAATAGAAGATGCTCTAGATTCAAAATGTGATTCAAATTGAAACCTTTCGGACAAATAGGGTGTTAAAAGATTGAGTCCAGCAAAAAGGTAATGACCAGAAAGCTTTAACAATAGTTTATTATGAAGAACCTTGTCAAGAACTTAGACAGTTAAGATACTCTAATGGTGTTACCAAATGCTTTGGTGCACCAAGACAAAGACAGAAGTAAGTGGGGTAGACTGGGTACGGTTGAAACAAAGGACGGTTGAAACAACACGAAATCTCGCAAACCGTTGGCGGGACGCTAAGGGGGTCCAAGCGGACAACGAAGCGGACGACCGTTCCGAACATAACTTCAGTGTTGCGATGCTCTCCATGCGCTTTAACCGTTTTTACAAGACCCTATTGTGTTTTGTTAACCAAAAGTAAGTATTTTTGCAGAGTTTTTCACAATTTCTATAATTGCTTTTTACCTAAAGTAGGAGTTGGGGACGAAACATTTTTTTGAGGACGGTTGAAACATTGTATTTATTCATTTTTTTGTTTTCTAGATGCCGAGAGTATACGTAAGAAAGACATCGAGAGAACAAGTAGACTTGTCGAAGTACAAAGACGCTTATGAGTAGGTGAAAGCAGGAATTTCATGGCGAAAAACGGCAGAGAAGCACATAGTAAACCACTGCTCACTACTGCGATACTTATATCCAAAAGCCAGATGCATCTGATGAGAAAGAAAATCAAGACATGGGATATAAGGCACACAACCGAGTTTTTAATCAGGAGCAAGAGCGAGAGCTGTCGAAGTACTTGGTTCGATTTGCCGATATATATTTTGGCCTATCTAAGAACTGTGAACTTACAGTTAAATATAATTTATCACGACCTCAGATATGGGGTGATAATGAGCTAGCAGGTGAGGAATGGTTTCGAATGTTTATGAAAGGAAACCCCGAATTGTCTCTACGTGCAGCGCAAGCTACAAGTCTCTCCAGTAGTGGGACTCCGTGTCTCATGGAATTCTAGACCTTGCTTTCCACTGTTGATATCGACTGTAGAAAGCAACTGTCACGTTTTATGGCACTCTGTGTCACAGTCTCACAGTCGACTACGCTTCGGGTATTTTCGGCAATCTAAGATGAAAGTATCTCATAATTTTTTAGTAATATCTAGTAACTTTTAATTTGTTATGTTTATGTTTGTGTCGCATTGGATCTTTTGACATTGACTGTAATTAACCTATCACCTGTGGCAGTGTTTTATATATGTTTGAAACCTTGGTCTTAGTTTTTGATTGCATATTTCACTGTTGAAAGATAATGGCTCTAGTACCTATAAACATAGCTGCGATATTGGCAGTTGAAGAAGAGGAAAGGCTAGCTGATATCTGCATCGAAAATATGGAGAGGAGATTGATGAGAAATCAAAGTGATCCCTTTTCACTTGAGGATGTGAGATTCAAAGAATTGTTCAGGCTAATAAAGACATGGTCCAATATGTTTTAAATGGCATCAACCAGGTGCCGAATCCTGTAGCAGTACCTGTTATCCTGAAGTTTTTTGCTGCGCTTCATTTTTATGCTACTGGCACTTACCAAAGAGTGATAGGCAGGAGCTATGACATTTCAATGTCTCAGCAGAGTATTTCAAGGGCTATTCATGAAATAACTAATGCTATTATCAGTACATTTTCTGAACAACTGGTACACTTTCCAAGAACAGCGTTACAAAAACATGTAATTAAGCAAAGGTTCATGGAAGCAAGAGGTTTCTCTGGGATAATCGGAGCAATTGATTGCACACATGTGGAAATACTAAGGCCAACTTTGGAAGAGCATAACTATAGAAAGGGTTACCATTCCAAAAATATACAAATTGTAAGGTTGATTGATTATATTTAAATATAATTCTATAATTTCCAAAAACTGTTTCAGGTCTGTGATCATGATCTAAAAATTCTTAATATCACTGCCAGGTTTGCAGGTGCATCTCATGATTCATATATATGGAGAAATTCATTGGTGAGGAATGAATTGGAAGCTTGCTATCATGGAGGTATGCTCACAGTGTTATTTGGTATTTCATAATCAAGGACCTTATTGCATATATATGAAATATGCACAAAAACAATTGTTGATTGATATTCCTTTTTGTAACATTCACAGATGAAAATTATTTTTTTTTTAATGCAGGTGATAGGCATTCATGGCTCTTAGGTGACTCAGCTTATCCTCAGGAACCATGGTTGATGACTCCTATCCAAAATGCATTGCCTGGTTCGCCAGAAAGAAGATACACAGACTCCCATATTCAGACAAGAAACTGTGTAGAAAGGTGCATAGGTGTATTGAAAGAAAGATTCCTCTGTTTATCAAATGTGCTCAGATATAGCCCTGAAAAAGTGGGTAATATTGCAAATGCTTGTGCAATTTTACATAATATATGTGTAGCTGCTAGATTGGATTTTAATTTGGACATGCTACCACTACAGGATACTGACAATCATCTGGAACAAGGCAATTTTGACCAAAGAACAAACAGAGATGGGATTTTGCTAAGAAGGAACATTATTGCCAGATACTTCACTAATTAGTATATATACTAAGTGACATATAAATCCGAACGCCCAGTTTAAATGGTTTTATTTTAATAAAATTTTGTATAAGTACTTAATGAAGCATAATAAGTAAATGATAAAAATTTCAAAATGATTGCACTGCTTTAAAGCCCTTTGACCTTTAATAATGTGTGGATGCACCCTGATGTGCTACGCATTCTCCAACGCGCCTAGGCATGCTTCTGATCAGGTGGTCAATGTCCTCCTGTGGTATCTCATTCCAGGCAATCACCAACTCCTCTCGAAGTGCTTCTAGAGTCTGAGGAGGACGTTGCAAATTGAGCAATCTCCTACCCATCATATCCCACACGTGCTCAATTGGGGATAAGTCGGGAGATCTTGGTGGCCATGGTAACAATGTGACATCATTATGTTGAAAGAAGTCTATTGTGACTCTTGCAACATGTGGTCGGGCATTATCTTGTTGGAAAGTTGGATCTGCCAGGGTGTCAAGATAGGGTAAAAGATGGGGTTCTAGAACTTCGTGGATATAGCGCTGCGCGTTCATGTTACCTCTGATGAAGATTAAAGGTGACCTGGAACCATAAGCTATAGCACCCAAAACCATAACTCCAACAGTGTGATGAACATGTCTTTCAACAAAAAACTGTGGATTCCTCCTTTCACCATGTCGCCGTCTAACCCGGGCACGACCATCGTGCATGCCTAAACAAAATCGAGACTCGTCACTAAAGACAATACTGTTCCATTCCTGATCCCAGAGTGACCGTTGTCTGCACCACTCAAGGCGATTACGTCGGTGTTCTCGAGTTAAAGGGAGGACCCAGTGTGGCCGGTATGAAAACAAGCCAAAACTTCTCATTCGTCGATAAACACTTCGCATGCCAATAGGTCTTCCGTGTTCTGCAAACCATTCATTTGCAATGGACCTGGCAGTGGAGAAACGGTCCCTTAAGGCCAATAATCTTAGGCGGCGATCTTCACGGTTGTTCTACGGCGGCGTCCAGTGCCCCTTGCTCCTTGCGTACGGCCTTCTCGAAGCCATGCCAGACAACACCTAACCACAGTGTCTACACTTCTTTGCACTCTAACTGCAATTGCCCGAAAAGAAAGTCCAGCTTCCCGAAGTCCCACTATACGGCCCCTATCAAACTCCCTAAGTTGACGAAATCGTACAGGTCTCCGTACTCTAGGCATCGTAACCGATCGTAAAGGATGTCAAGAATCAAAATCCGCCAACGTGGATTCTTTACTGCGGCTGAAATATTCATTTTTAGAGCGTTAGTGAATTAAAGCAGTATAAAAACCGGAATGTCCAGCTGATAAGGCTGAAAATTTTTTCGCTTGTTATTTACAGTAAGATAAATACATTCACCAACTTTTATTAAAATAAAACAATTTAAACTGGGTGTTCGGATTTATATGTCACTTAGTATATGTATCATGCGAGGTATCTTGTAAAGATGTATTATCCTTTTCCATATTACAAGTTGTTTGTCACTAAAACATGTTAATTTTTGAATCTGCTTAGGGCAAACATGCCAGTTTTGGAAAAGATGTTATAGGAATAAGTACTAAGACAAATTGTTAAGTTCCATGTAAAAATATTTAAAAAAATGTCTATATTCTGATACATACTGTGGTAGATATTTTAGAAAATGGTGATTGAAGTGGTTCTAAAATGAGCATATCACTCATTCTATGAACTTTTTTATTTTTTTATACTGAAGCAGCCGCGTAGGCAGAAGCCCAAAATGCCATGGCACCGCAATTGCAATGATGAGGGACTTAGAGACAACTTGTTTATCCAACCCTTGAACTGTCTAAGGTTGGTTGAATCGGGAAAAGCCTTCTCAGGCAGATTGTTCCACCGTCTCAAAACCTTGGGCACAAAGGAGCTGTCGTACCGGCCAAATCTGGACGTACTCAGTTGGGATGGGAGGCCAAAGTCTGGCAGGCTCGTCGCGCGGTGGCATCATGGAGCCGAGCTCCGAGGAGCAGATCCCGTTGACATAGCGGTAGGAGAGAGCTCATCGACATCCCGTTGATGCGACAGGGTCTCGAGATCGTCCATCAGAGAAGGGTCATCGATCAGCCTGACAGCCCTCTGAACAGCATCGAGCATGGATAATGTGGTCGGAGGTGCAGTTCCCCAAATATGGAAGCAAAACTCGAGGCTAAGTCTTATCGAGGCCTTGTATAGAGTGAGGAGGTTATGTGAAGAAAAGTACTTCCAGGCTCTAGACAAATAGCCTAGTTTTTTTCCAGCAGCTGCCTCGATTGACGAGACGTAATATTTTCACTGGTTTGAGTGGCATAAGACAAGATTTTCCTTAAATCTTAGATTTTTCAACTTTCTTGTAGAGAATTGTCTTGATTTAATTGATAATAAATGAATACACAAAATATGTTTTAGACTTTTTATTATAAATTTTCATGAGGATTATATGGCCTAGTTTGGTATTACAAAAATGTAGTGAAAGCAAGTCAACCAATAAAAATATACTCAACTGTCTTTTGAAAATGCTGTTTTTGCAATAGCAGCAAGTATTTTCAATGACTCTGCAATACTTTGGGTATTACTTTCTATTTTTTTGAGGACCTGGAGTGATTCTTCATTAATTATTGTTAATCTGTTTGAATTTCTTTGGTAAGTTCTCTGATATGGTGTTCTTTGATGTTTTCTTGAGGGAGTTTTTGTATTCGTTGGAGTATAATTGTGATCAGGTAATGTTTTGATGTTATCATTTTGCCTATTTTCTTGATTTATCACATTGCAGCTTGATGCTTCCATTGTTGAGTGAAAGACATCTGTTGTATTAGATGCGGTTACCTATAATAAAATACAGTATTTTCAAAGCTTTATCTCTATAGTATATGCTATGTCTCAAAACTTATCTTCATATAAATCTTTGTTAATGTAGCATTATGAAGTACTCACCTGTCCAACGCCCATTTCACATACATCATCTCCTTGAACAGACTTTGTTCCCATAAGGCTGAGGAGCCGCTTTTCTGCATCAGAGAGAGGTACATAATTTGCTGGACCTCCACCAGTTTTCACAATTTCTTGTTTGATTTTTGATGCCTTAGCTTTAGTTTTACATTTCCAGTCAATCAAAGCCTATTAAATACATACATTAAGTGCAAAATTAAATATTGTTGATTAAAGCTTTTACCCTTCTCCAATCTTCTTTGTTTTTTTCGCCAAATCCCAAACTATTCAGTTTATGGGTAACGTTTTGCCACAGTTCATGCCCCTTTGCTTTGCCATCAGGTCCATTAAATTTATTACTGATCACCTCAGGGTTTTTTTCGCAAACATCGAGTAGCAAGTTCCAATGTTCTTGTCTGACTCTCATGATTGATCCAAATTTAAAGCACAATTTAAAGCCAATATTCGCAGACGCAGTCAGGTCATATACATACAGCAAAGCATTTGCAAAGTGAGGTTAGAAAGCTTTTTTTCGTAGAATTCCACACGTCAAGACAAGTGGTTTTCAAGTGAAAGTATTTGTCACTTTCATGCGACTATTTTTGCACACGGAGTGCCAGTCGTATGGAATTGAATCAATTGATGGAATTCCATGTGACACAGAGTCCCACTGCAGGGCGACTAGCTTTAATAAAGCCAATGTCGATTCTTTCTATGACAATTTGACTATTTCTAACACTGACGAAACAGGCTTTACCATTGTTCAAAAGCCCGATAGAGTGGTGGCTAGACGTGGCGTTCATCAAGTTGGTTCAGTAACTTCAGCGGAAAGAGGTACATTAGTCACAGTTGCCTTTGCGGCAAATGCCATCGGAAATGTAATTCCACCATTCTTTGTATTCCCGCCAGTTCGTTTCCAAGATCATTTTATTAGGGAAGGGCTCATAGGCTCCGCTGGAGCTGCCAACCCTTCTGGCTGGATGCAGGATGAAACTTTTATGCATTTCCTGGAACAAAAAACATACAAATGCATCTCCATCACATAAAGTGTTACTTTTGCTCGATAATCTTCACACGTCCATATTAATGCACTAGACTTTTGTAAAAACAGTAGCATTATTTTACTATCTTTCCCACCCCATTGTTCTCACCGACTCCAGCCGCTTGATCGATCTGCATCTGGCGCTTTGAAGAAAGCTGCAAATTCAGCCTGTATTTGTAATCGATACGTCAAATCTAGAAAATATAGCAGAGGCAGCAATTGTTCCTGTACCAAACACTAACCCATCTGAAGATGAAACGCCGCCAATATCGCCTTCTATCTTAAGTTATGAACCAGCGGTAGAAATTGTCGTCCAACAACAGGCTATCAGTTCGAAGAACTGCACAGGAAAACGTGATTGAACTTCCGGAAACTGTAACTACACCACCCAGATATCACAGCAGCATAAGTATTCAGGAAACTTCTCCAAAACCCAGTTCAAGTGCTCAAATAATTTCTTCTAGTATCCCCACTGTATTTTCACCGGAAACAATGCGACCATATCCAAAAGCTCCTTCGACGAAAAATAATAGAGGGCGAAAAATCAGGAAGTCAACAATTTACACTGATACACCAGAAAAGAATGAGGTATGAAGGTTGAAACGAACAAGAGCTAAGCAAGTTAAGAGGCAATTGTATTGATGAAAGAAGGAGCAACGGAACGGAGGAAGAAGTAAAAGAAAAACCACAAAAGGAAAAAATAAAAATGTACAAGAGGATGTATCATCATCAGAAGAAGGGGAGTGCCTTTGTCGTATTTGTATGTCGCCATATTCAGAGAGCAGATCTGGAGAAAAGTGGATGCAATGCACCATTTGTAAATTGTGGGCTCACGAAGAATGCACAGAAGGTGGTTTTAGTTACGTTTGCCATAATTGCGACTCAGATTAATCTTTATATTTAACTGATGATTGATTAACTAATGAAAGACAAAGACAGCTTTCTTTTCATTTATTTTCAAATTATTTTTGTTTAGTTTATTAAGTTAAAAAGGAAATAGTTGATTTTCGTTTTATTTTTTGTTGTAAAAGAGTTAATTATCCTTAGTTATTCTTAGAATTTAAACAAATAGTTAATTAAACGTGTTATAATGTTATATTTAGTGTTATTTGCACGTGTTCCAACTGACCCCAATCAGTGTTTCAACCACCCCTGGTATGGGGACGGTTGAAACAAATCGTTTTTTCTTTTAAATTTAATGTATTATTAAAAATAACACACTTGGGCCTAAAATCGCATTACCCATTAGTAGATAGAACCATGATCTTTTATTTAACAAATCTTCTTCATCGCTCTGAATATAAAAAGCAAAACTATGGACAATTCCAGTGAAATTGTTTCAACTGTACCCAGTCTACCCTGCTTGGTGGAATGAAACAGAAAAAAAGAAATAATGAATGAGGTTGCAAAAATGACATCAATGATTTCCCACGCACCGCTGTCACCTGCTCGTAAGAAAATATGATTAAGGTAGCACTCATTAGAAAGACGTTCACTAAAAACATGTATACCAAAGGAATTGAATCGATCAAGTCAATTAGGCCCATACAGTTTGTCTCCAATCCCTCAAATCCTGCCTCCGCCTCTGAAAAACTAGCTGTCTCCTAAAATTCGCATGTTTAACATAGTTTTGTGTAACATCATATTCAAGATTTTATGATAAAATTTGCTATCCTCACTGTTCACGCTGGTACAAAATCATAATATATAGAAGAGCTGTCCTCGCCCAGCCATCTTCGCGTTTTCATTAGTTCGTTCTAATAAAGGGCAAATATATGGGGAAATCTATGTGTGAAATACGGTTAACAGGTGGGTAAGATAACAGTGGTGAAAAGTAAATGCATTAGCGCCGAAATATTTAGCTGTACCACCACCTGCTACCCATCACCCGAAACTTTTTACTCGTCTAAAAATATCCAAAAATGATTAGAAGTCGATGAAACGTCAAAAAATGGCGTCAAGTAGATTAACTCTATAGTTTCTACGACACCGTTGGAGGTTTCAAAAGGCGAACTCGAATCGTGATGAGGTAGCCTTTTCATCCTTGGCATAGTAGTAACCTTGTATCAAAATTTCATCAAAATTCGAGAGATACTTCTCAAATTATAAACGGTTATAAAATTAGTGGGCAGACCGACAAACAGACAGACCGGCGGAAACCAGTGACATGGTTTTTCGTGATGTGCATGTCATATAACATAAAAAACATATCTCAATTGCGAAATTGTTCGCCAGTTTTGTCATAGGAAGTAAAACGAAGTGGTCAAGCAAAACATCAATAGAATTCTTCCGCGTTGGTCAACGTACTAAAGAGATAAGACATTACAAAGTGAAGAAAAGGCAAAAAAGAGGCAGGCAAGCTACAGTGAAGACCTTACTATATTCTTAATTATACTAAATTAACGTCTTATACAATAAGCACACTTATATCATTTTTGCCTTGCTTATCAACACCGGCATAGCATAAACACGTATATCAACCTTAACCATAATTAATTAAATCCAAAAAATATTCATGATCACAGAATTTAGTTTAGATTCAAAACGCTAGGCCACAAAATGATAAATACTTCAAGATAATGATCCTTGTAAAAATTACTTGTCCGCACGCACGTCCAGCATAAAAGCGGGACAAGAGGTACATACCTATCCAAACAGAAACCGTTCCATAACA